CGCCCGGGGGCGGCGCTGCGCGCGTCGCCCGCGCCCGCCGCGGCGGGGAGGGGCTGGACGTCGGTCGTGGCGCGCCAGCCGGTGCCTGCGCCTGCGCCGAGCTCGTGGGGCGGGACGCCTGCTAGGACTCCGACGCCTGCGCGGTCGTCGAACCCGTCACCAGTCCCAGGGCCTTCGCGGGTGGCCGCGGTGCCTGCGCCTGTCACGGTGGCTCCCGTGAACCCTGAAGACGTGCCTGACAACTGGGAAGATGAAGTCTGAAGCCCGTGGATAGTTCTTGGAGAACGTAAGAGGTGTAGAGTAGGTGTATCAGCCTGAACCCGAACTAAACGTGTCCATTGCAATCGTCCGCGACGTAGAGCACGCAACGTCTCAAGCTGTATCGTTACAACAAACACTTCAGATTCCCATGTCAATGCCCTGTTCTCTTGCGCGAACTTGGTGTGTTTGAACTTGCGTTCGGACGATCGCACTCAACGCCTCTTTCTCTTGCAGGGATTCGTGCAGCGTGCCTGTAGCGTTCAAAGGCTGTGGGCCGCGGACATCACCGCCAATGCGCCCACAAACCTTGTGAATACACAAAACGGTCGCTGCTTGGCGACCATTGTGACAACCTTTTGCTCGGCTACGTAGCAACAGCAAGAGCCAAGTATTGTGAACAGAATGGCTATGCAGGCGGAAAGTCCGCACGCGATAGAAGACCCAAGGAGAGGTGTGTTTGGGCCAAAGCGGACGGGTCCTGGGCCTTGGGGGCGGGAGATGGATGGGGGCGGTGCACAAGGGCCGGGGCACGCCCTTGGAACGCTTTGCCTCGCGGTCACGTGTACGTGTCTATGCGCGCCCTTGTATAAGAGTGTGTGGGCCCGCTCCTGCCCTTGCCCCCACCGGTCATCTCTCCTGCCATCCCCGCCACCCCCCGCTCCCGCTCAACTGCCCCGCATCACCAGCCCCAGCCTGCACCCAGTGCCTCGCGCCCCCAGCCCGTCCCCACTACGTCCTCCGCCACCGCTAGCCGAGCGTCCATCATGTCCGCCTCCCTCTTCGCAGACGTAATCGTCGACATCAAGGACATACTCCGCGCGCTGCAGACGTACGACCAGCACAAACCAAGCACAAGCACGCAGTACGACCGCCCCCCAGGCCTGCCGTTCCCCATCGCCATGCCCGTGCCACAACGGACCCCAGGCCACTTCGCCACAATTCTCACCTACGAGGAGCCTGAGGCGGAACGTCCAGCGAGCTCTTCGGCTGTAGAGGATTCGTACGTACAACACAAGGATGATGTGAGTCGCCTTCTCTGCGTCATCGGGGTGCGATCCGAGTCTGACCTCGCGCTCGCCACAGTACCTCAGGTCGGGCGGGGAGTACACCCAGCGCCTCCTCACACTCGCCCGCGGAACGGCCACATCCTTCCGCAAGGACATATACCGCGACTCCACGACCTCCAACGAGGCTCCGCCGTGGCCGCCTGCGCCCGAGCTCGTCGCCAACCCGCCGAACTGGGGGTTCGTAGCCACCACTAGCCACAGCGGGAACACCTCGGAAGATGCCGAAATGGACGCCACCGAGTCGGACAACGACTGGTCGGACGCGTCGTCGCAGAGTGGCTCACTGATCCACGTCTTCGACGTCAAAGGCCGAGCTTGGGACTCGGAGTCGACAAGTGGTTCGTCCTCCGAGGACAGCAGCCACGGGGAGACGGATGATGAAGACGAGAACACCTACGCCACTGGGTACTTCATCGGCCGCGACGGGACCCAGTGGCCGATGCCGCCGCCAGAGTGCATGCCCGGAGGGTATCTCTCTACCCACCCATCCCCAAACGAGCGCATGGGGACGTGGTCACCGACGACCCCCACCGACGCCACCGAAAGCCTCTCGGGCTACGAGGCCTACACTTCGGCGGACGAGGATGTCCTCGCCCTTGAGGCGATCGAGGGCCGAGTGGTATGGTCGGCAGAAGGCTACGAGAGTGGTTCCTCCGACACCGACTTCGATGAGGACGAGAGGCTCGAGGACGATCGACTCGAGTACCCCAGCCACCTCACCCCACCGCTGTCGTACTCCGTCGGCAACTCGCCAGCCTCGGGGTTCGCCCCATCACCCACCCACCCCTCCGCGCCCTCTACTCCAACAGCGCACCTCTCTCTCGCCGAGCTGGGACGCCAGTGGTACGCGTCCTTCGGAAAGGACCTCCAACCCTCCCCCTCCAATTCTTCCCCGGACTCCTACGCCCCTCCCATGTCGCTGGTACCACCCTCGACTACGGCTCAGGACTCATGCTGGGGTCCACCCTTCGAGGGGAAGACCCGCTCCGGAAGAACGATGCGGAAGGTGCACCACCGGGCGATTGAAGAGCAGTGCTACTTCCTCGGGCGCGATGGTTCGGCGTGGCCGCTCCCGCCCCCGCCCCCAGACGCGTCGGAGTGCGGGCTTTGGCGGCCGGGGCGCACCGTCCGCGCGCCGAGGTGGTGAATGAGTGGGCGCTGAGGCGTCTTGTGCTGGAACAATTGGATCGCGTTGATAGATCTCCAGTCTATCACCCAACCTGTATAAATGTACATCTCGCTGCGAAGGACTTGTAGAGGTAGTATGTACTCTCCTGATGATCGTGCCCTGTTCTTGCCCAGTTTCTTCTGTTTCCTTGGCCTGTGACCGAGCGGTTTGTATCCTGAATAAATATTAGGGTGCAGCCTACGTTGCACCCTGGTTCGAGATTCGAAAGATAACGTCTGAGGTCTAGTGTGATGAGGCCCTCGCGAGTATAGTCTGCGCACTCCTGAGTTTCACAGTTCGAACTGGATCGGCTCACACCGGTTGGGTGTTGATATCACACACGGACGAATAGATAAACACGATGATATTCGTACAATCTCGTCCGAACATTCCTTTCCAACCGAAATCATCCTGAGTCCTCACAGCGCAACAGGGAATACTCCGGCCTTCAAGCCTCCGCATCCGGCGCGATCTTGATGATGAGCTTGCCCACAGTCTTGCCCCCGGTGAGGTCCTTCTGCGCCTGCTGCACGCCCTCGGCCGTGAACGGGTACTCCGCATGGATGCGGACCTTGAGGTCTCCGTCCGCGATGAGCTTGAAGAGCTCCGTGCTGTAGCGGCGGCCCTCCTCCGGCGTGTACACATAGTTGCCCATGCTGGCGTGAGCAGCGTAAGCCAGATACGCAAGTAGAAGGGATGAGGCAGGAGTGCGACGTACGTGGGACGCAGGAGGCGCACGTTCTTCTCGACGAGCTTCAGCGGGGGGAACGGCGGGACAGCCCCAGATGCGTTCCCAACAGACACGAGCGTGCCCTTCCGGCGGATCATCTTGAAGTCGCTCTCGAACCTGTCCGCATCCCCTCCAAGTCAGCACCATCCCCTACACACACCCTGCCCCGACCCACAAAGACACTCACGTATCCTTCCCGACCCCATCGAAGATCGCATGCACGCCCTCCCCGCCCGTGAGCTCCAGCACGCGCTGCACGGTGTCCTCCTGCGTGTACAGGATGACGTGGTCCGCGCCCGCCTCCTTCGCGAGCGCGGCCTTCGCGGCGGTGCTCGTCGTGCCGATGACGGTCGCGCCGCGCGCCTTGATGAGCTGCGCGAAGAGCAGGCCGAGTCCGCCGGCGACGGTGTGCACGAGCACGGTGTCGCCTTTCTGGACGGGGTATGCCTCGGTGATGAAGGTGAGCGCGGTCGCGCCTGCGGATGGTTGGTGAGTGCGGGAGTGGTGGGGTGATGTGGGGCAGGGATGGGCAGACCTTGGGTGAGCCCTGCGGCGGCGGTCTTAGTGGATAGCCCGGCGGGGACTGGGTAGGCTTTGGCCCAGGGCACGCTCACGTACTCAGCGAACGCTCCGAGACCGTACTGGCAAGAGAAACTCATTGCGTGAGTAGTGCTAGATCTAAAAGAATGTGCGTATGATACCCACGATGGCGACTTTGCCTCCGAGCGCGAACCCGCGGAGCTTGTACTCCTCGTCGTTCAGCACGGCATCGTCCGTCGGAAGCCCGACGATCTCGCCCGCGGCCTCCGTACCCAGAGGTTGCGGGAACTTGGCGATGGGGTACAGGCCCTTCCTGGATGATACGAAAAGCGCATACGATCAGTTGCAGTATATGCGCCTCGTAGGAGCGGTATACTCACCGATAGTACGTATCGATGAAGTTGACGCCTCCATAATGGATCTACGTAAACAAGCAACTACGTCAGCCGGTCCGATCGCGCAGATAGACGGAGGACATGCCTTGACAAGCACGTTCCCGGGCGCGTTCGCGGGAACGGGCAGCTCGATCTTCTCGATGACCTCGAAGTCGCCCGTCTTGTTGATGCCAATTGCGTGCATCTTTGCGGGAAGCTGTGCGGTGGACATGCTGCGTGTGTTTGCCACTTTTCGGGCTGGTGACGTCGATAGAGATGATCGTAGCGCGGTGTTATGACTTGTAAGTCCGGCCCTTGCGATGCTGCAGTTGTGTGAGCGTGAGGGCGAAGCCGGGGCGGTGAGCTTTACTTTTGAAAGGGAGCGGAACATAGCTCCCGCACAAAGCCCTACAAAGCCTCGAGCTGAAAGTATCGTCCAGCTCTTACTTATGGTTAGTCATGCAGGCTTGAATCGCGTGAGCACGTCGTGAATGGGTTTCGTCATCGCTGAGCAGTCTCAGGATGTCGTGCTCGGGCCACACGATACCCGACGGCGCGCCGCCTAATTATAACCGCTCATGGAAGGCTAAAATTCAAAGCATGTTTTGAAGCGTGATGGGATGAAAGAGCAGGAGTATGTGATAGCGTGCATAGCAAGGAAGTGGTATGTAACGGGGCGGGTGGCAGGCCATCATACTATGTCCATGGTAAGTACGGAGGGCCTGCGTTCAACTAAAAATACAAATTATACTAGGGTGAATCTGCAAAAGTCCTCTCTGGTGCCTTCAAGTCTAACGCGCCATCCTACACGGAGCATCCAATCGTCCATGGTATATCCTATGTTCACCATCCGACCCAAGTCCCGAGGCAAAGGGCCGCCTACCAATCAACATATGTACGACGTCGGGCACCGAACCTACGCGTTCAAATCCACCCAACATATCCGACTGCACCCGGATCGCAAGGGCGCAGTCTCCAAGCTGCGCACAGGCCTCACATCGGGGAGCAGGGCAAGCTGCCCGTGTGCGCCGTTCCCCGGGCCACCGCGTCCGAGCCGAGGGACGCCCGGCGAACAAAGCCGCAGTGACAGGTGGACTGTGGCGGAGCGCCCGCCCGGTCTTCCCGCGAGCTTCCGTCAACGCGTTGACAGTTTCTGCTCGGCTGCCCGATGGAGGGACGCGACGCTTCCGGCATCGGGGGTGGTGTAATGATGGGGGCGCGTGGCTACGCGTCGGCCCATTCATTTACGGGCGGGGATCGCGCTGGCAAAGTGCACAGTTCCGAAGAGCCCGAGCAAAACGGCTGTCGCTACGACGGCCTGAGTGACGACTTGAGGTGGGTGGGGGTGAGGGGAGCGCCGTCGTGGGACTCGGAGGAGACGTCCGCGAACTCGATGTCGTCGTGGAAGTCGGAGGTACCTGTCATCGTGCCGATGAGGACGCTGCTGAACTGGAGCGGCGACGTCTCGCGGAGGCGCCGTTCTGGGAGCGCGCTCATCCCGAGACGGATGATCATCACCGTTGGTCCAATTCCCTACAGAGTAGTGTATGGTTAGCCCCAGTAGTTCGCTCGCAAAGACGGGAGCACGTACATATATTTGAGCAGCGATAGACTCGATTATGACCAGCGCCGGGTGCCCGAGCACAAGGAAGATCAGGACGAAGAGCTGCGCGACCGCGAGCAGCCCGCCCGTCTCAATCATGCCCCGCACAAGCGAGCAGAAGAGCTCCTCCACGGTCTTGACGCTCCGCACGGGTGCCGACATACGTCGCAGCCGGTACACGATCAGTGCCGTCACGAGCGTGTACACCGCCAGAGAGAGCACACAAAAAGCCATGTCGTACGGCAGGTTGCGCGGGGCGACGAACGGGGAGCGGAACTTGGACGCGGGAAAGCTCGCCGGGCCGTTCATGGCGCACACTGCGTAGAGAGGGGACGTAAGGGTAAGGGCGAGAGCTGCGCGGCTGCGTAGCGGGGGGTTACGCACCGTATGCGGCGAAGGCCATGATGGCGGGTGCGTAGACGACCGCCCACACACGGTCCCACACCGCCCAGCAGCGGTGGATCTGTGTCAGGGCGAAATGTGGCGTCAGGGCGAAGTACGATATTGACTGCGGGCGCTGGAGTTTACCATGATGAGCTGGGAGAGGAAACTAGCGGTTTTGAGTAGGGCGTCTGCGCCGCGCAGGAGGCCGCTCATTTGGGGTCCGGTGGGTAGGGCGTGCATAGACTGAAGCATATGTCAGCCTCACGCGCGAAACGAGACTGGGTGTGAACATACCCCGAGAGTTGAATACCTGTCTGTAGTTACAAGACTGCAATGCTACGTCACGAAGGAAGATGAGGCGGCGTTAGGTTTGGAGGGACATGTATACATACCGTCATACAAATGCCGAACAAAATACACGTTGCGGAGACCATGAACCAGTCAACAGGGAGCGGCCTTTTGTACAGCGTGAGGATCATCAGCGCGAACGTGAAGAATATGCTGTAGATGCCTGCACAAGACACCATTCAACGATCGAGTGCGGGGCGGAAGAACGGTTGACACGTACCGAAAAGTATGATCTCGAGGGAGTTGCTAACGACGATCGCGTATGCGCCCTCATCTCTTACACTCTCAAGCAAATGCACTATCGTCGAAGGAGTCGGATGGGGCATTGCCCAGGGGGCGACGACGCCAGGGAGACACGGTGGCCAGGATGGCGGGAGCGGTGGGCACGACGGCGAAGGGTTGGGGACGAGAGTGTGGGATGGGCATTATAAGCCGCGTCTCTCTCAGCACGCGATGGTCAGGGTCGCGGCGAAGATGCTCGATGGCTGCAACGCTTCGGCTTCTAATCTGAGTTCGCGTCTTCTGGATCTTGGGCGCAGCACCGCGCTGGAATGCGCTCACTTGATTGGCTCGGGTGGTCTCGGAGCGCGATCCTGGCCCGATCCGTCGGAGTCACGGCGCGTCACGCAGTCTGGTCACGCAGATAGTAGCCGAAATCTTATCAGATTGGGGGTGCTTCTCTTCCTCCCACTCCGGACGCGCATTGGACGGCCATGGCAAGCGCAAACCGTCGTCTTCAGGCAATTCAGCGCAGCCTAGCCGCACCCGGCAGCTGGCGACGCGTCCTCGTTCTCCCGGATGAGGCCCGCGTCGACGTCCTCCAGCCAAAAGACACCGCCCACCCGACCCACGTCGCGATCGACGGCCAGCTCGTCGGCCTCTTCCGCACCCTCCCCCGCTCTCTCGCCCTCGTCGTCTCCGCAGTCGGCACCCCGCACGAGAACAGCGCAGACCACGTCCCCAAGTACCCCGTCCAGGAGATCCTGCCCCCCGCGGCGGCCAGCGCAGATGCGCCCGCAAGCATCGCCATCGCGGACCTCTGGGCGATCGTCTACACCCTCTACACCCTCTTCGACACGCACGAGGCGATCCCCCTCGTCCTCTCCGGGGACATCCAAAACGCCGCCGAGCTGAGTGAGTACCTCCTCACCTCCGGGCTCGCGCGCAAGCGGCACACCCCGCCGGGCGACACCTCCGCCCAGGCCGAGCCCGAGTTCTTCACCCTCCGCCAGACGTTCTGGCAGGGCGCGGGGACCGGGCCGTGGCACCACCGCAGCTGGATCCGCGGGCACTGCGCGCTGCTCGCGACCGCGCCGTTCCCGTACACGCAGTCCTTCACGCGCACGCCGCTCGTCGTCGCGTCCCACCCGCTGCGCCCGCCGAAGCCCGCCCCGGGCGCGGTCGTGTACCGCCGGTACGTGCCCTCGCTCGGCCAGACGGTCGAGTTCGTGCACATCGACCCCGAGGGCAGCGGGCCGCTCGTGGAGTGCGAGGGCGAGATGGTGTCGCCGCACCTTGCGACGTTCCACCGGTGGCATAACTCGGAGCATGTGAACCGTGGTTGGGGCGAGCGTGGGCCGCTGTCGAAGCACCGCGACTACATGCGCGCGATGCTGGCGGACCCGGGCGCGTTGGCGGTGATGATGTGTTGGGACGGCGAGCTCATGGGCTACTCTGAGCTTGTATACATCAAGGTGAGTCAGCTCGCTTGGGGCACACACCTCGGGTGCAACACGAAACTGATTGGACACTCACAGGAAAACCACGTTGCGCCGTACGTGCCCGAGGGTGCACGGGACTACGATCGTGGACTGCATATCCTCGTAGGCGAGGAGAAGTACAGGGGCATTCACCGGTGTACGTCTTCTCCGTCTTCTTCCGTCAATATTTGCGGCCCTCCCAGAGATGCTGACCTTCGGCTGCGCCAACCCATCAGCGAAAGCCTGGATCGCGGCAATCCACCACTTCCTCTTCCTCTCCGACCCGCGCACCGAGCGCGTCATCGGCGAGCCAAAGGCCACAAACGACGCCGTCATCAAGCTCTCCGTCGCCGTCGAGATGAACCTCAACACCGTGCGTACCGCTCATCAGCGCGCCGAATTTGGCTGATTCGTTGGGCGTGCCTGCACAGATCTTCGACTTCCCGTACAAGCGGAGCGTGATGACGTGGCTCCCGCGCGAGCGGTTCTTCAAGTACAACCACCTCGCGTTCGCGGAGGACCGGGATACGCACGATCCCTCTGCCGCCGCCGCTGCGCCGAAGAGGAAGTAGCTGTCGCCGTAAGTGCGACGCTGTGGGATGAAGGCTGCGAACACAAACATTAATATTTTAGTCATGTAAGGGATGTTGGTGATATGGGCATATGTGCGCACTGTTGGTTCTTTTGGACCCTGCATGGGGATGTCGAAAGGGGCCACTTCCGCCTGAGCGGTGCTCGTGCATCAGGATGCGGGTTCGCGAAACCTCCATTCTCGGAGGCTTTTGGACCAATGGGGTATAGCATCGGCGCTGGGCATCATGACTTCGGAGAAGGCCCTTTGCAGCGAAGCTCTCCGGCCGTTAGAGATGTCGTTCAGGGTGGCGGAGGTCAAGAAGATAAGGATATGTTGCGGCTGACTTGAGGACCGGATACCGAAACAGCCACGATCACGACGCGATCGAGCCGGCGCAGCGTGTGTGTCACACCGCGCATGACCGTGATCTCTCGCGACTCCGACACGCACCGACCACAGCAACGCCTTCATATCGTGGCCGGTCGTCACTGAGTCTCGTTTAGCCCACATGCATGCCTTGCATCGCCGGAAGCAACAGTAATGATGGCAAAACAACGAAGATAAATATAACCACACAGCAACATCCATATCCGAATCCAAGTATAAAAGCTACACGAGCGCACGCTCAGTAAATGATCCATAACATATGTAAGGTAGTAGTAGTCGCTATAGTCTGCTGTAGCATTTACACTATGTACACACGCGCGTGCGCAACAACACAGGGGCATTACGCCTCCTGCGCGCTGAGGAGGCGCTCGAGCTCCCCGAGGCGCGTCTCCCACTGCGCGACCTCCGCGAGCCGGTTCTCGAGCGACACGATCTCGCGGTCGAAGTCCATGCGCTCCTCCGCGGTGCCGATGCGCTTGAGCGACCACCGCCCGGTGCCGTCGCCCGGGATCGTGAGCAACTGCGTGTGGTAGCGCATAAGCGTCGGGCTGCGGGGCGGAGAACACAGATTTAGTGGTTGGGCAGGCATGAGGGGAGAAGGGGACTGACCGGAGGGAGATGGTGATGAGGGTGATCCCGAGCGACTTGGCATGCTCGTACATGCGGCCTTCGACGTCGCTGGACACGGCGCTCGTGCACTCTGAAAAGGGGGCTGCATCAGCAGTCATCCAGCATAGGCATCCTTGTACAACATACCATCCAGGATAGCGAACTTCGGCCTGTGGTAAAACACCCTTGCCATGCCCATCTGCACCGACTGTCAGTACCCGTACAAGGCAGGATCGTAGCGCACTCACCCTCTGCTTCTCGCCACCGCTCAGCACGTCCCTCCACTCCTTGCGCGTCGTCCAGCCGCCCTCACGCGCAGGCAAGTACGCCAAGTTCACAGCGGTCAGGATCTCCATGAGCTCCTTGTGCGTGTTCCCCGACGCCGCGAACTGCGGGTATGTGTCCGGGTAGATGATCCTACCGACAACCCGTCAGCTTCCTCTCCCTCTCACCCAAACAAAAGCAGTCAACTCACTGGTCCAGAAGCGTCCCAGTGACCATATACGCGCGCTGCGGCACCACAAACACACCGCTCTTCCCCACCGGCCGACTCACCGCGCCCCCGCCCTGCGCCGCCCACAACCCCGCCAGCACGCGCGCAATCGCCGTCTTGCCCACACCATTACTCCCCGTGATCATGAGGTGCTCGCCCTGCTCGAGCTCGAAACTCAGCCCGCGTACGAGCACCGTCCCCGAGCCCTTGCCGGACCCGCTCTCGGACGCGTCGTCCGCGGCGGCGAACGCGGGCGCGGTCGTCGGGATCGCGACGTCGACGTTGCGCAGCGCGACGACGGCTTTGCCTGCGGGCGCGGGGAGGGGCGTGGGCAGGGGCGGGAGGTTGTGCAGCGTGGAGAGGAGCGTGTAGAGCCGGGTGGTGAGGCCGGCGAGCTCGAGCAGGTCTTTGTAGGCGTACATGAGGCGGCCGCCGGCGTCTGCGAGGGAGAGGAGGAGGCGCCGGGAGGAGATGTATGCTGTGGGCGGATGTTGAGTAGTTGTTTCGGCTATGAAATTGTAGTGGGCTTACTCTCCGTCCGGTTTGCAACCTCGTTGTCAGCACCCTCGTGAGGCTTGGGGCCTTGCGTTTGCACGCCGACGTGTCTCCGCCTGGTGAAGAAGACGGGGATTGAGATGAGGCAGTATCCTGCCGCACTCCAGAGGTACTTGATGACAAAGTCCTCCGTCCACTCGTATGCAATACGAATCTGCACGACGGGTCAGCTTATGCTCACAAAATTTGAAAGTAGCATAACATACCTTGTATATTGAGTTAACGTGCTTGATCAAGCGGAGATATGCTCTCCAGAGGATGCTGCGCTCTTGCAGTCCTCCACCATAGAAGCTGCTGCAGAATTAGTGCTGTTCCACGAATGACTGATTCCAGAACACTTACGCGACCTCTTCGCTTTCTCGACCCACTCGGCCCATGCCGGCCCTGTACTCACCCTCCAGTCGCGCCTCCACAGCAGCCAAGCGACCAAACGCGGGCGTTACAGCGCGCAGGATCTTTGCAGTTAGGTAGTAATTCAAGAAGAGCATGGCCGTCCCCCGGATACCCAGCGACCGCGAGAGCTGCGACGTGAACAGCACGAGGTCCAGGGACGGCTTGAGCACATTTCCGCTGCAGATGCTTGTAAGCAAGCGTTGCAAAACGTCCGAAGAAGCTAGCTTACTAGATGCCGGAAAGCGCGTCACAGAACGCGCCGATGTCGCCTGTGATATACTGGTCGACATCGTCGAGACCAGCCTCCATCGCGACACGGTAATAGCGCAGGTCGGGTGCAGAGGACAAGTATAGGTCATCTGTATAGCGCGTTAATCGCGTCCGCATGCGCAACGAGAGCTTCGCTTGCAGGTGCCGGATCTAGTGCGAGGCGACAGATCATGTCAGACAGAGTCTCGGGGGCGAAATCGGATGTTTGAACTCTTACCATCGAGTTCGTATATGTACTCGGGATCGCGAGCAAGAACCACAAGCCGAGACCCTTGAGGAAACCGACGCCGTCGGCCTTCACCAGGTCGCGCACGATGCGACCGTCCAGGCGGGCGACGCCCACACTCAATACTGTCCGCAAGACCAGAAAGAAGGAATGTGAGACAAGAATGAGGGACTCCTTGGAGTGCCATGACGGGAACGCTATTCGCATAATGGCGAAGAGCTGGCGCAGGAAAGTCTTGTCCAAACTGGGCTTGTGGGACGTCGGCACGAGGGGGAACCGTTTCGCATTGTCCGCTAGTGCGGCGGGGGATGTAGGTTTAATCGGGACCTGTATGTCATTGAGCGCGCTGGCCGCAGCGTTCACGAAGGAGAGGCGCACCTTGGATATCCGCCCCTTGTAAGGAACGAGTAGTGTCTTCGAGCCGTCAGGCTCGTCGATGTACACTTGCTGCAGTGCCTGCGCGAGCTCCTCCTGGGAGACCTCCGGGCGCGCTGCCACACTCCGTAGCCTCGCGAGGATCCCCTTTGGCAGATCGCCAATCCTCCCTCGCAGCAGCAGCAGCGTAAAGAGCGCAACGAGCATTGAGCTCCGTGCTTTCGGATCTCGTGGCAGGTTGCGAAGCATTGCTGGATCGAAGCTGGGGATGTGGACTGCCATCGCGGACGGCCCGGCGGATGGTAGCGGGGGAAGTGGTGGTGCTGGTGGTGGTGGTGGGCAACGAGAAAGCCTCAGGATATTGCGGCCAACAGGTAGATGATGCAGCGCTCTCCCATGCACAGCAGTAGCGCAGAAGGAGGACGCTGGGGGAGGGATGGCGGGGAGGAGAGAAGAATCAGGCCATGGTTCGCTGCATCCCGCGCCGATCGGCGCTCTCGCATGTGTTTTCCCCACACTGCTTCGAAGCGTCCGTTGATGATGCAATTGCATGTCCGCGACATCACTTCTTCCGCCTGCCTCACTTCTCGCACACGTGGAACAGACTGCATGTGTCTTTGCATTTCGACTGTCTGGACGAGTCCTCGAAAGGTTGGAGGCGGGACGTTGCACATTGACCTCAACATTCGCATCCTTCAGCCGCACCGCTGGTCGTGGCAAACGCCTGCGGGCGGGTTGTCATGTCGAACCACAGCCGATATACCACCCTGACGGAGCCTGACGGCTGTGCTACTTCAAACACTTCGCAGAGCGGCAAACGCGAAATCCCCGTCCAGGGCCGGCAAGCCACCATAAAACAGGCACTCCTGCGTTATACCTCGGTCCCGTTTCGCAAATCACACCATGTTCAAGCAAAGTCGGTCGTACAACGTGATGGCATTGAGCGAGCAACGTGACTACAGCTACAAGGAACCGAGAATAATCTGCGGGATGCGATGGTGGTCAGCGTCTCCGCAACAAAACGCACGACAAAACGACGAGGTTCAGACAAGTATATAATGATTCCGGATAGACAGTATCCTCACGGGTGCATACGCACTCAGTAGAGGGAGTCTGTTTCGCATCCCCAACACACCAGCGGGAGTGGACACTCACTTAGCGGTTCTTGAAGTAGTCGAGGAGGACGTGGAGGCCCTCGGACTCGACGCCGTAGTCCTTGACGACGACGCACGAGCAGCCGACGACCTTGCGCGGGTTGCCCTCGCGGTCGATCTTGCAGAGACCGGCCCAGGTGCCGAGCAACTTCGCGTCGGAGACCTTGATGAGGTTGATCTTGTGCTCCGCGCAGAGCGCCTCGATGAGCTTGATGTACTCCGCCTCCGTGCACGTCTCGACGAGGACGCACAGGTGGGCCTGGCGCTTGTCAAGCGCCTTGGCGCACTCGCGGAGTCCACGAGCGAGACCGTCGTGAACGAGGGCGTTCTTCAGGACTTGCTGTATTCGGATGATCACGTCAGGAATGCTGTTTCGCTGTATTACGGTGCATCTGTACTAACCTGAAGCGCCTCCTCGACGGAGAGCTTCCCCTTGGGTGCCTCGACGGGTGCCTCGACCTCGACGGGCGCGTCGACTTGGATTTCATCAGAAGCGTCAGACATCCTGCACGTAACGAGAGTCTCAGCATCTTCATAAAACGTTGAATGCCACGCGCTGCAACGTACTTTTGGTTTGAGATATAGAGCAGGGGGCGATGTCTTCTTCCGCGTTCGTGGATGTGAGGGAAAAAATAAGGTTCAGTCCAGAGTGGGTATATGAGTAGGTTGGAACTCCGTCGGCATTCTCCGGTGGCACCGAGGTGCGCACGCTCAAGTGAGGAGAGCATCATGCGGGACTCTCATATGCACTCTCAGCCTTTCTCAAGTGCTCCAGACCTACATCTCATAGGCAAAATCATGACTCAATTTCTTCGTGCAATATACATACTTGCGTGACCTGCGAAAGTGCACTCGCGAGTCGCAAAGGTGCGTTCAGTGTACAGACGCCCATCGCAGGAATAATAGGCGCCCTCCCTCCAGAAATCACATCTGGCGTTCATAGTAGGCCTTCGTATCTTAAATATCGGCGCAGATCGAAGGAGTCGTGCAGAATGGACAACGGTCATTTCGATCATATATCGCACGCAAGATAGACGAGGATCAATACGGACGGGTCGACGACTTCCGACAAAACGTAGACATACAGACATACAAGTACAAAAAACTAGAACATTTCAAGGCATCCAGCTGATGAAAAGAAGTCAGCACATATAAACGTCGACACTCATAAACACACTTACCGGGAGAGGCCGAGCTGGCGCAACGACGTTGTCGTCAGCAAACGCAGACAGAGGAAACCGCACGAAGCTCACCGTGCGCGCGATGGTGCCGACGAGGCCCGCAGCCTCCGTGTCACGCTTCTCGACCTGCAACTGAGAGCTCCTGAGGGCGACCGCGGTGGCGAAGTGCTTCTTCTGGTAGAGATCTCGCTCCCCGGCCAGCACTTCGTTCTCGCGGCGCACGGCAGACAGCGCCGGATCCGGAGACGTTGTGCCGTTCGCAGTGCTCGCCCCGGCTTGATCAAGCTGTTGCTGCCACGCCCGACGCTGCGCGAAGATGTATTTGAGCGCATGGAAAGCCCGGGAATGGTCGGTCCTTTACCTCTCGCTGGATCTGCAGGCGCACATCCTGCGCAGTTCGGGAGAAAATCTGGTCATAAACGTCGCCCTGGACAGGAAGGCTCGCACTCTGCGCTTCGTTCACCATCGCCTAAAAGTTACAGGTGGTCAGAAGGGAATCGAGACTCTGAAAGAGTTCTGACAATACCATCAGAGGCGCTATGGGCACCGCTTGCTCGGGCAGGTGGTGCTGGGGAATATCAACGGCGGTAGCGTCTGGATCGGATGCGACTGAGCCTTGGCGCACGGGAGGAAGCACCGTGCTGGGAGGCGAAGGGTAGCTCTGCGACGGCTGCCCGCGTAACGGCGTCTGAGGAGGGCATCTGGATGATGTGGGTTAGGATGCGAAGCAAGCGCGAGGCTAATCTATTAGGGGCACTCACGACGGTCCTGCGCCTGCATCGGGGGGATCTTGAGGTTCGAGGAAAGGATTCCCATCGTCCACCTCCATGAACTCAGGCTCATCGGAGCTCACATGAGCTTCCTGGGCGGCCACCAGCCCTTCAGTAGGCATCCGCTCGACGCCATCCCGAAGCGCTGCGTTCTCCCTTTCGAGCAAATCGTTCCGTTCTGCCACGGTGAGGTACCGGTGCCATACCTTCCAATCGCCTACCGTTTAGCATCCAATGTTGCGCAAGAGTATGAGTACTTAATCACCTCTCGCTTGGGAACTACCTTCAAATTGCCCGTGCCGGCGTTATAGAAGTCTCCCACTTCCTTCGGATGAGCGTCTTCCGGGAGTGCACTGCGTGCGCGACGCGATCTGCGATAGTAGCGAATTAGTGACCAGCACCGGCGCTATAGACACATTGCGAGTCTACCCACAATTCAATCAGGGGTCGCGCTGGCTTGAACCTATTTGGCTGACCAGGACGGCGCTCCAGGAGTTTTGCCTCGGCCTGACAAGCGTTGAGCATCAGCTACCTTGAACGGAACGAAGAGAGGATTCAGGGCGAGCGAACCAGATGGTGCAGAAGGTCCTGCGTATAATGCTGGAGACGCTTTGGCGCCCTCCTACCCAGCTTCTTGTACTCTGCGGTAACTAGTATTGGGCGAGTCAGCGATATTGGTAGAAGCACTGTATCATGTCTCGACCAACTCACCCGTCAGGACCAAGGCAGGAGTCGTGAAGGACCCACTTCCGTGGCGTCGCAACGCAGTGAAATTTCCTACATGAACGCCAAAGAAGTATGATTAGCATATACGTTCACATATATGAGAATCCTCACTATCGCGGATTGTGATGTTCCTCCTTCTGCCCATGTTTAGTGGGTGGCGGGGGTGGGATGGGAGTTAGAGATCTATAGAGGCACCCGCCCGGGGCAAACTACATATAAACTGCGGCGCAAGGTACCAAGGCTGCTTGTCGTAGAACATATTGGTTTGTGTGGTTATTCTCGTAGCACATTTTTCGTATTCTGAGGGTTGTTTGTATAGCGAAGCACAAGGCGATGGTGGCGGAGAAGGGTGTAGAATCGTGGGAAACCGAGTACGACCTATGTACAGGCGCCTGTAACTTCATTGCTCAGACCAAGGCTCCTCGAACCTCAACGAACTGACCAGCATAACCTTCTCCGACCACCTGTAAAACAGCTTACCTATGGTGCTTGCAATGTCATATCTATGCTAGGACTACATGTCTGACTGCGCTGATATAGAGCTTGGCCTTTCTACACGCCCATGACGGCGCGGAACGTATGTCGCGTCGCGTCTCACCCTCGGCTCTGGTCTCATATGAAGTCGACATACAGCGCACTCCGACGCGGTCTGGGCAGTCTCCTGGACGAACGCAGACACCGTCCTGAGCATCTCAGCCGACGGCTCGATCAAACAATGGGACTCCGTCTCGGGCCAGGTATCGCGCACACGTCCCCCGCATACACTCGGCCTCGTCTCGCTCAGCGTGGACCCCTCAGGCAAGCAAGCGCTCTACAACACCTTGGAGGGCCTGACGTGTCTATGGGATTTGGACGATGGGGAGCTTAAGGGAACGTTTGAGAGCTATGCGCGTACCGCAGAGTCGACAGAACCTTGTACGTCCGAGTGGTCTCTCTCACCGAGCAGGCCGCACACTGACCTTCTCCATTTCTCCCGTGACGTGAATGCTGCTGCGCGGCAGCTTGGTCCGTGTCTTTGAGCCCCAAGGGCGGCTCGTATGCTTCTACGGGCGGAACTGGAAATGTCACCATCCATTCGGCAGAAGCAGATTCGTTCGGCGAGCGACGCGCAACTCTTACCAGCGGCCGCAGCAAGTTCGGCATGTACTGTAAACATGTGAGTCGTTTGTAAGGTCCCTCGGACGTCAGTCTTCATCCCACTTTCTGTGTCCTGCCTCCCGCAGTCCTGCGGACTACACTGCACTCGACGGTGTCTAGATCGAGCTAACAATGACACATTGACAGAGCCCAGACGGAGCACGAGTAGCTATGTCCTCCGAGGCTGGCCAAATCTACATTTTTGACCTCGCCTCCAACGCTCTACAAACAACATACAGCTCGCATGCTATGGGTGTCCGGTCCTTGGCATGGTCGGCGGACTCTAACGTGCGTCTACTACGAACGCGTCTGGCCACACTGTGTTCCGAACTTGACGCCCTCTGTCCAGCTGCTTCTATCCGCCTCCGAGGATAAGCGACTCATATTGCACGATGTGCGCGTGTCGGCGTCGGGCAAACCGGGGTCAGGTGCCGTCGCGACCCTGAGCGGCCACTCCTCATGGGTCCTCAGCACAGATATATCTCCCGATGGACGGCTCGCAGTATCCGGGTACGCCACCATGCCCTCCGAATTTGCGTAATGGGCGCGCTCACCTGTATGCGCACAGATCCGCGGACAAGATGATGAAGGTCTGGGATATTGGGGCGCGGGCGGCGGTTTCCACTGTACAGGATACCGGCGAGGTCTGGTCTGTGTCTTGGAGACCCAAGCCGCCTGCCCATGGTACCGCGGGCGCATTTGTCAGTGGAGGTGAGGATGGGGTTGTCCGGTGGTGGAGAAGTGCCGGTGCGGGTTAGTTAGCTATTAATATTGCTGGAGCATCCTCAAGGTTCTGGTCGTGTATTTGTTGTGAGATCAAAATAGGCATTAGTGTGCTCGTGCTGTATTTCGTCGTAGCCCAGACTCGTCATACCTTATGAATGTGCCTCAAGGCTCACACATGCAGCTCGACGCGAGAGTAATATCGAATATACATATAAGCGCCCACAAGTACAAAGGTGGGCCGTTACGCACGCCACCGCCGACTACTAGTCTCTCATCCAATCTTCTTTGACGCGTGTTCCTCGGGTCTCGCATAACACTTTGCACACTATTGTTCAACCGAAGGCAATATGTCTGCAAATGTCGGACAAAGAGCGCAGTTCCTGAGAGAATATCTCTCCATCGAGGCAAAGGATCTGGACGAGGTACGCTGATCATGCCTGTACAGATACTTCTTCGCATTGCATTGATTGAAGTAGATCTCTAGGACCTTAGTATCGCACTCACAAGCCTCATAACCACTGCGGTTCACGACGACGAGCCAAAGCATGATCTCAACAGCATCGTAGAGGCTGTAAAGAAGAGCGGGACCGCAACCGACCTCGTGAGCTTGATTCAAGGACACCAGGTCCCTTGCTTGCTGAGGTAGGACTAGGAACCTTTGACAGTTATCCCGATCGTTGTCAGGAGCATCGATAATGGCGCAGACGCACTGATGGACGTGATGGCGGCGGAGTGCAGTGCAAAGGAGGTGGTCATGGCCGTTGAGGAGGTCGTCGAGACCATCGACAGGCGTCTTCAGTCCACAGACGAGGAGGAAGAAGAGGACGACGACACACGACACGCCTCAAGTTCAAGGCAGCTTGAGCGTCTCATTCGGACTTATACCACATGCAAGTACCGCAATAACGCTGCCGAAACGCCGCTGTCTGACCTCTCGCACCCGCAGCTATTCCGCGTTTGGTTCAATGGAAGAAGTCCCCAAAACAGGCCGTCGAGTCACGATTGACCGAACTCCAATCGCTGATAACGCTCGTCGGCGGCGACGCTACCGCAGAAGAAGGGCGGTCGATCATCATATCGATTGCCCAACTGGTGTTTGCTTTGAGCCAGGGTGCAGACGCAGACACGAAGGCAATGCGATATCTATCCACTTGCAGGCACTTGTGCTTACATGTGGGGTCCACAGGACTTGATGCGGAGCCTCGTTGAGTCCACGCTGGTCACCTTCCCTAACCATATACATGGGAACCTCGCCCGAACGGCTTTCATAGCGAACTTCCGCCGATTGATTATTCCGCAGGCAGAGCCTGGGACAAGCTCACAGGAAGACGTCATGGACACTGCTTGGGTAACTTACCGGAGCTGGTTTTCTAAGGCATATTGGTGCTGACTGTTGCTTAGGTGGCCCTCCAGAGCATAGGTGTTACGACAGCGTCGTGCGAAAACACGCCCTCCCTAGCTTCACTGATTCTGCTTGCGCACACGTCATCATATTCGTTTTCCGCCCTCCGCATATCCGCATTTTTTCCGGTTCTCGTATCCTGCTTCCAGTCTAGCATCTGTCTTGACGAGATCTTGGCCATTCTCATGAACTACTTGGCTCCCCTACGCTCCGTGACTCCACGCCCGGAACTGGAGGTCGACCTGATTATTCCCCTGATACACCTCCTCCCGCCTCTTGCCAGCAATCACCCTGATCCGGATATCCGGCACTACACCTTCCGCGTGCTTTCTCTCGTCCTCGGTCTTTCGCCTTCCCCGGTCCGTTTTCAGCTGCTCAAAGATTTACTCGAGGACGAGGACACACCTCCTCAAATGCGGACCGCCGCAGTCGGTCTCTTGAAGGAGGCCGTCATGGAAGGCCTCTCTGCAGACGCTCAAAGCGCATTTGCCTCGCCCCTCCTTCTCTCTACCTTCGGGCCCATCGTTCTACGACCCGATCCTCCGGATATTCTTGTTACGGCTACTTGTGAGGACTTCCTTGACGGCCCGGAACCACTGCGGCTGGTGGAGTGCCTGGGGTTCTTCTTCGTGTGGCTCCAGAGGGATCGGAACAACAGAGTTGGTTTGCTTATTCTTGGTTTAACTCCCGAGCTCACTTCCGCTACAGACGGGCGTGCGCGATGGTACCTCACTCGAAAATATGCGGCGTTCACTGCTTGACCCGCTTGAGGCGGGACTGATTAGGTGGAAGAAGGGTATGTGAATCAAGTTTATCCCGGGGAACTCATCACTTAGCGGGGGTGTTAGACCTCACCTCCGACGTTAGCAGCGGCGAGCACGACCACGATGGCGCGCTGCGGCTCGACGTCCTCGACATGTGGGTGGGAAGAATACGTAGCGCCATGGACGCTGTCCAAGTTTAACACCTTGGGTGAGTGCTTCCCGATCAGGATCATCGTTATCTGGATTTGGCAGCGCTTCTTATGGGCGCTCCATGTGCTGAGTTCTGTCACGGTCCTATTCGACCGGCTTGCTTAGTTGTAAACCTTGTATCTGGCCACCGCATTTCACACATGGCAGAATAGCCATTCCTCTTTTCTTGCACATCTAGAAGCTCGTTATCATAGCCCACGGGCTGCATCTGGCTGTGAAATGTCTTCTGCTACAGCTGCTAGGATCCTCGTGTCGCATTCAGTAGGCTGCATTCCGTGGAGAGGTACATCAAGGTCTCACCGTTCGCTTCGGACCGTCAGGAGGGCTATCTGGATACTTGTGGTTCGCGAGGCGCCAAGGTATACCTGTAATCATCCAGCATGATTGAGTATAAAGACTCGACGCGCATCGCTGGATATCCTCGCTCCTGCGCGTGATTCACACCCCACCCGCAAATCAACACCGCTCTGCGCATTCTAAGCACCACTTGATGTCCATGGACAACGCCCCCAAAAGCCTCAATGTGTCTGTAGGGACTGCTAATATGGTGGGAGTTGTCCTCTCGACAATGACTTTCGGTAAGCACTATCCGAACACGTCCAATGCGAGCCAGCTCTCAACTTACTTATAGGGGTCCATCTGACGCTGTTCGCCCAGCTGAATCGCCTATACATTGGTTGGGGTGGGAAGAGGCAAATATCAAGCAATCACGACCGGCGACTTCTCGCCTACATCTACGTCCTCTTTCTGCTTGCTATAGCCGGCCTGTGTCTTCAGACCTGGGTGACCCACGACGCGTTCGTTATCCACGGCGCTTTCCGCGGGGGACCTCTTGCATATTTGGCCCAACAAACGCGCCACCCCGCTCATGTGGCAATGACCACAATGTGAGAAAAACCGTCTTTGCAAGGCTGTTTCGACGTTGAAGGAGAGAATACCTCAGATACATAATCTTGAACTGGTTCGCAGACGGAATGCTGGTAAATCCAACTTTTCTATGTACCTTCGGGACGCCACTGAATGTATCAGACAGCTGTACCGGGCATACGTACTTTGGCGGTACTCTAAATACGTGGTGACAGGGTGTATTCTGACGCTTGTAGCTCTAATTGGTACGTCATGCGAACCAGCGTCGCGATTCACTTGCTAATCTGAACGGTGACGTGCAGGCGTAGGCGGCTTCTTCATCCACACTGTTGCGAAGGCCGGTCTCGATCTCTGGACGGGCGGCGAATTCACGCCTTGCATAGCCTACCTCTCGCTTTCGTTCTCAATCAACCTTGTGCTCACAGTAGGCATCGTCGGGCGATTGATGTACATCCGTCATGAACTTGGAAGCACCCTTGGGTCGGAAGCAGCGCAGGTGTACACCTCCATTGCGGCAATGCTCGTCGAGAGCGCAGCGCCGTATACATTGGTATCTTTACTTGCTATCATCTCGTGCGCGCGACGCATCCCGATGCAAGATGCGCTCCTGCCGATGCTAGGCCAGCTTCAGGTGCGATCCGTTCGGAAACATCCTGCTAAAACATCCCCGCTAACTCCTTATCATTTGCCTCCAGGCCATCCCACCACTCTTGATCATCCTTCGAGTAATGGAGGGCCGCTCCGTAACTCCGGAAACTTGGAGCCACTCTCTATCTTTCCGGAATCGCCCCTCTTCCAGCTCCCCTTCCGCTATATCCCCCACATCCCGCGTATCCACGGCCAAGGTCCCCTCCGATGTCATCGCTTCGTCTATCAGTCGGTCGTCCCGCATCAACCCGTCGACACTCGACGAGGATAAGCAGACCTCCATCTTGGACTGGGACGTTCCCCCCTGTGCCATTTTCCCGAGCCAGCAGCCGCAGAGGCTATGGGTCTGTACCGACCTCCCGCGCTTCGCGCCCGGTTCCACGACGGCTGTCGATGAGGAGAATGGCTACAGCCCATTCGGCAGTATGTGCTCCTTGCCACCGAGCCCGCAATCACCCCCTATAGCGCTCATGCCACGAAACTCGACCGCGACACACCTATCGCGAACCTTCTGCACGGACGTCTGAGCGAGCACACTCAGGCTGGCGGTGTCTCAGCCAGTATTCGTCGCGCAACGGCGGACGGGGAGAATATGTCATGGCTCTGGGGTCGCTCGGCAAGAGAGCACCTTACCGAATAGACCCAAGCACTATCGTCCGCGCTCCCGCACCTGGACGTCCAGGTGGCCCCACGAGGAGGAGCTGTCTGCGACGTAGAGCGTCCAGGCGAAAGGACCAGTCCGGCTTCAACGCCGACAATCCATCCTCTGAATACCACTCGGAACGCGCCCATCCGCCTGGCTCGACCTTCGTTTAGAATGCGGCTAGCAGTTGTGGCGGGGACTGAGGCGCGTTCAACCATGCGTCGTGTATGATATTGAGCAAGGCGACGTTGGCGAGGCGATTGTAGCTGTAGCATAACCAGAATCTGCTTAAATCTCCCAATAGATGTGCCACATAGTGTTATCACTTTATTGTGACTTCTCTCTAGCTCGTGCGTAGAACATACCTGCAGTTTGGACAGCCTCCCTCTCTAGTCCGTGCGTGTCCCCCAACTCCCCCCCTCTTCTTGTCGCGCCCGCAGCTCACGCTACACCATCGGCATGAACTGCAGTACGATCAACGCGCATACGAGCGCACATGCCCCTGGTACCGCGGGCCCTGTCGACGTCGGCAGCCGGTGCCTCGTATTCTAGTGTGTACTGCGTCTGGCTCTAATTGAATCGGAACAACAGAGTCAGCTTTCTTGTATCCTGGTTAGCCCAAGACTCACTGAATTCCAGTGTCCACTACAGATGGGCGTACGAGATGGGCCCCGCTCGGAAACAGGTAGCAGTCGCTCAGCGCTGGACCCGCTCGAGGTGGGACTGGTTCTGCGGTGGAAGAGAGCTTGTAGTACCGAGGCGAAATACTCCAAGTATCACGCGGAGCTTATAATCTGGCGGATGCGTTGGACTCCGCCTCCGATATCGGGGTGGTGAGCTCATATCAGCATGACCACGATGATGGCTCCCTGCTACTCGATATTCTCGACATTCATCATGATATACTAGCTGAGCCGGATACGCGACACCATGAGCACGAACTTATCTTGAGCGCTAGCGCTGTATACTTTAGATCAACAGTGGGTACTGCTTTATTCGGCTAGAGCCTAGCAGGCTCTGCATACTACTATGCAGGGCGTTTTTTATTGATTCATGTCTAGATAAGTAGACGGACCAGGTTGGGCCGCACATGGCAGGTATCCAGAACATCTGGATGATACACACCCCGTCATTCTTTCCCTTACTCTCGTCCAGAAGCCCATCTCATCGGCCTGCCGGCCATATGTGGCTGTGAGTCCTTTTGTATCACCCGATCTCGTCCCGTAAACTGTATGTGTGGAGACACACATTGAAGTTTACGCCGATAGGCCCGGACCGCTAACGCAATTACAGGTATCGGGCTCCTGCGAGTGTGCAACATGCCGTCGTATACGCGTTTTCAGTCAGCGCGTTTCCGTGAGAGTATAATATGGACCGTTGCGGATCGTCAGATCTCCTCAATCTTGCGCGTGGTCGACGTCCTACACCACATTCGACATCCCCCCTCCCTACCAATCTAGGCCTCCTACTCTATAGCGATGGATGACAACAACGAAAGCCTTAATGTGTCCATGGGGACCGCTAATATGATAGGGATCGTGCTGTCGACAATGACTTTTGGTGAGCACTACCCGAGTTCTATACATCTATCTGAGCAGGACCCTCAACCAGTTACTTACAGGGGTACACCTGGCAATCTTCTCCGACCTCAACCGCCTGTATTTCTGCCGGATGGGCAGGAGGCGACAATGGAGACCAAGGCGCCATGACTGGAAACTTCTTGCTTACGTCTATATCCTGCTTCTGCTATCTACTACCGGGCTGTGTCTACAGACTTGGGCGAACCACGACGTCTTTGTGATTCACAGGACCTACCCTGGGGGGCCGCTGGCATATCTGGCCCATCAAGCCCGCCATCCTATTCATGCGACGGTTGCTTCGATGTGAGTGCATTTTTTCTCGTTGTGGTGCAGCATCGGCACTAAAGTAGACGTTTTTCTAGGTATGTTTTTGTCAACTGCTTCGCGGACGGAATGCTGGTAAGCCAAGCCTGACAAAACTTTCAAAACGGCTCTAATACCGCCAGGCAGCTGCATAGGGCATACGTACTCTCGGAGTACCACAAGTATGTGGCGACAGCGTGCATCCTTTCGTTTATGGCTTTGGTCGGTACGAAGTTCTACCAGAGAGCTTCGCGATATACCCACTCATTTCGACCACGATCCGCAGGCACAGGAGGCTATTTCGTCCATTCCATCGCGGTGGACGGCATCAAGCTGTGGACGAGTTGTAAACTGACATCCTGCATCATCTACCTCACGCTTTCATTCGGGATCAATTTCGTGTTCACGGCCGGGATCGTATGCCGGCTTTTTTACAACCGCCGGGAGTTTGGTGGAGTTCTAGGGTCGGAGGTTGGGCGCGTGTACACATCCATCGCCGCAATGCTCATCGAGAGCGCATCGCTTCATACCGTGGTATCCCTGCTCGCTATCATCGCGTGCGCGGGGCGAATCCCGTTCCAGGGTGCGCTCATGCCGATGCTGGGCCAGTTACATGTGCGTCCGGCCTATACACGTCTTGGTCAACCCCTGCTAAACCCATATTTATCTAGGCCATCTCACCGATCATGGTCGTCTACCGTGTGGCGTCGGGTCGTGCCGTGGCTCGCGAATCTTGGAGCCAGCCGGACACCATCCGAACAGAACTCACCAGAAGTTTCTCCTTCAGCCTCTCCCCGAATTTTCGAAAACCCCCAACCAAGATCAGCACTGATTTCGACGCATCCTCATTCACTCGCTTGACTCCAATCCACCTATCGCCACTCGACGACAACAATCGCAAGTCTATTAGACCCGTGAGCGAGCGATCGGATCTGCGACTCTTGTCAACTCGGGATGACGGCGAGAACGGCGATGGGAGGGATTTACCCTACGAGGACAACGACTGTAGCCCATCCGCCAACTTGGCTTTCTTGCCTCCGGGTCCTCAAACACCCTCCATAGCGCTCATGCCCCTGAACTCGACGACGAAAAACCTATCCCGGCCCCAGTGAATGCGTTGCTGAGCGAGCACGGAAAACCTTGCGTCATGAATCATACATATCAAGGAAGGCGACGTGGGCGATGTAATTGTAGCTGTAGTATGACCAGGACTACCAATATGCGTCACGCACACCGCTATTTATTCATTTTGACTTCTCTCCGGTCGTGTGTGTACCCACCGCTTGGTCCACCTCTCCAGCCCGCCCGTATACGCAACTTTCCTCCCTCTTCACATCGCGCCTGAGCGCCCACGCTACACCATCGGCCTAAACCGCAGCTCCACATACCTTAGCGGGACATAAAACAGCCCCGCCGCGAAAAACGCGACCTCAAACCCAATATCCCCCGCATGCCGCGCAAACGGCCCGACGAACCACACCTGGTCCATCGACGGCACGATGAACGCGCACGCGAGCGCACACGCGCCCAGCGCGGCGAGCCCCGTGGGGAGGCGGCGCGCGTCCTGCCAGTAGCGCAGGGTGTAGGACGCGAAGGCGCCGCGGCGGAAGAGGAGGTGCTCGAGGAGGACGATGGCGCCGAAGGCGCTCGCCCAGTAGGCGATGAGCCCGAGGAAGTTCGTGAGCGTGTCGTAGAACTTGTGTGCGCCGACGATCGAGACGGGGATCAATCTGCGACGTTATGCGTGCGCGGTTAGTATCGATGTGTGAGACGGGGGGGATGGGGGTGGGAGGGACGCACATCGCGGTGGCGAGGAGGGAGAACATGTAGCGCGGGATGACGGCGAGGGGCGGGATGAACACCTGGAAGCTCAGGGAGAACGAGTAGAACGTGGGCGCGATGTTCGCGGTCACGCTGAGCGCCATGAGCACCGTGAGGAACTTCCCGAAGTTGCCCGTCGGCCGGAGCATCGCCTCGATGAGCCCGCCGACGTTCCCGTTCGCGTAGCCGTCCTCCCATTCGGGGACGAAAGGCACAGAGACGGCGACGGCTGCGCCGAGGCATTGGATGAGAATCTGAGAGGAGTAGGTCAGGCACGGTAATTGTGGTAGAATGGGTGATGCTTACTATTGGGATGTTGAAACCCATGTACGAGTAGAGGAATATTCTCCAACTGACGAATGTATGAGCACCGTAGCGCCGAAACGGAGTTCAGTTGTGCATACCTTTGTACAGACGGGCTGAAGTAGATAGTAAAATCTGACCCCAACGCGCAGTAGGTGATAACGAAGCCCGCGATCGTGGATGCGAACGACAAAACTGCTGCTGCGGTTGCCGGCTCCGCTGGGGGCGGGTTGCTGAGATGTTTTCCGCCGACTCCGAGAGCGACGAGGTACACAACGAGGACCGGAAGCCATGCGAGACGTTCGTACCTACAACAAAAATATTCAGCGTCCACCGATTCTTGAGCCAGAAGGGGTACTTACCAGTTCAAGACTCTATAGCCACAAAACGAGACGAATAAGGATATAAGGGTGATAACCACAATCCCGACGCTGTGTGTAGCGTTAGATGGCGTTTTGCATGCATATGGTGCGTATACGTACCTCCAGCTTAGATGGCCGTTGGATATACTTGCCAATGTTTGGCCGCCAAGGATACAGTTAAGGATACAGAAGCCCGTCATCGAGCACAGGTTAAAGACACTTGGTATAATTACACCGTAGTAGCTGTAGATTGACACGCTGTTAGATCGTTTCATGTAGCGCCTGCAATCGACTGACTTACCCGAAGCTGTAACGGGCCTGGCACATTTGGCGCAGTCCGAGTTTTGGTCCCCAAGTAGAACTATGACATCGTTTATGCCGAGCCGCATCGTAAGAAATATTATGTACTCACAAATATGCTGGGAGTGCACTGCATAGTAGATTGAAGAAGAGAATGACCAAGCAAGACTCTCTTAGGCCCAGACCGAACACGACCGGTCCCAGAGTACCCGCGGAGAATCTGGGAGTAGATTAGGCGGGATGCACATGGTATGACCCAGACGAATGAACGTACGAGAGGATATTGAAGTTGGCGGACAGCCAGATGAAGAATATCTTGCTGTACTGTGTGTCCACTCGTTCTGCGAGGGGTACGGGGGTAATACCTGTGGGCAAAGGTCAGCGTTTGTATTATTCACGGCAGTCCGGTCAGGTCGGCGTACCTCTCGTCTCTAGACCCCACTGTAGTAGTGTCCTCGACCACTTGTACGAATGATGCCAGTCCTTCTGAGCGTATGAGCTCCCGCCGATAGACACACCATCCTTCTCCACGTCCTGAAGCACAGGAGTGTCGACGCCTGCTTTAGCCATGAGAGACTAGGATGTGGAGCAGCGCAAGGCAGGAGGGAGATATCGCGCCGTTATCGTCGACGCCTAGAGAGCCGCTGGGAGGGTGCGAACTGAATGGTGCAAAGCGAGACCTTAGGCGAGCACTACTCAAGCACAGTCATCCCACGGGTGACTCCGATTTCCAAGATTTCCGATGATCTACTGTAAACACATGGAAAGCAGCTCGAAGACGCTGAGAGGTCGAGTGGAAGGGAACAAGCGGACGTCCGTGCGCGAGTCAGCGCCGAGGAGCACATCCGAAAAATCCTCAGGCTTGTCGATCGCGATCGGTGGGTAGACCTAAGCTGGGGTTAGGGCCCCAAGGTCGTTGCTATAGGCCACAGCGCACAGAAAGCCTCGCGGTGCACCATATGGTGTATTGTTCGGAGAGCGCATGGGCGAGATGGTCAGACTCCAAATTTGTGCGCGGAAAGAGGAGACAAGCCTGGCAGGAACGGAGGAAGAGCGAGATCCGAGCTTCCGCGAAGCGCCAGGAACCTCTGGCTCCGGCCCGGCTCGGTCCTGGGCGCCTGTGACACGTGGGCAACATAGACGCCCATCAGAGTCGCGGTGGATGAGGACGCGCCAGACTTGGAGCAAGTCGTCGTTGGCGTCGAGCAGCACCCACTCGCACGATGACAGTTCCCATCCAGCGCCCTCTCAAGGGCTCCCGCATTTCCTCCTTCTACCCCGTGAAGACCCTCCCACCCATCTCCGCCCTCGACAGCGCATTTCAACTGCAAGAGTACATCTCGCTCCTCATCCGCCTCGACGTCCACGACGTAGAGAAGATCGTCGCCATACCTGGAAAGGACCAAAACGACACCTCGGAGAACGGCCCTGCAAAAGCGGATGAGAAAGACGCGGACAAGGACGCCGCAGGCGGTGTGAATGTTGACCCCGCGTGCTGGGTATACGAACACCTACGGTGAGTGTTGTTCCGTATGTATATAGAGAAGCGTACACAGGCTAAGTGTCCAACTGAATAGACGAGTGGCACAAGACCTGTCACATCCTTTGATTACGATGCTCCAGCAGGAGTGCACACGAAGCTCATGCCCGGAAATGAAAGCTGGCGAATGGCTGTATTTGTGCGTCGCGCATGGCAATGACGGTGCCATGGAGGTACGGTCTACACCAAGTCCAGTGGCATATGAGCTGACATACGACGTGTTCAGCAATGTTGTGCCATAGATTATATCCTGCATACACTTGATAGCGCTACCGCGCTGCTGAACTCCCCTCGTGCATTCCCGTCTCGGTACGTCGTCTCCCCACAACTACGGGTACCACAATCGCGCCGCTCACGACGCGTCTAGACTCTCTGTTCCCTCAACGTCCCACCGCCACTTCACCTCACTCTGCCGGCGCCTCGGTCGCATCTTCGCGCATGCCTACTTCCACCACCGCGAGGTCTTTGAGCAAGCGGAGGCCGAGTCCTCACTCTACGCACGCTTCCTCGCGCTCGTCAAATACTTCGACTTAGTCCCGCTCGAGTTCCTTGTCATCCCGCCGCGCATGGAGGGCCGCGCGGAGCCCGTCGAGCCGCCGCGCCTGATGGGTGCCGCACTCGAGCCTCGCCGCGACTCTGTGACAGTCCTACGCCCGAAGAGCCCCCCAGGGCCTGCCGGCGCGGCGCGTGACGGAAGCCCGCGCAAGTTCGGGCGCGCACGCACAGACACGATGGTGTACAGCGAGGCGTTCAGCGTCGCGGAGGAGCTCGCGAAGGGCGACCTCTCCGAAGTCGACATCGACCGCGAAATCGCGGTGGAGCGCGCCGCGTCGGTGCCGGGGGTCAGCGAGCCGTTCGTCCCGCCGATGCTCGTTGGCCCACAAGGTGCGGTGGAGACGGAGAGCGTGATCGTTCCTCCGCCGGCCAGCGGTCCAGCGGAGGAAGAGGAAGAGGAGGTCATTCCGCCGATGATGGAGGAGCCAGAAGACGAGGACGCAACCGAAAGCGTGCAGGAGGGCAGCTCCCTTGTTGTTGCCCCCGCGGTGGAAACCCCGTCCGAGGAGCCGGCGAATGCACCTGAAGAGGCTCCGACAGTGCCGCCTACAGAGGAGGCCGCATCCGCGCCTGTGACCGAGCCCACTGCCCCTCCTGCACAGGAGGCTGATGCACCCGTCGAAGCGGAGCCGGCAGCTCCCGCCGAGGCAGAGCCGGAGGCTCCGGTCGCGAAGGAGGACGCGAAGGAGGACGTAGAACTAGAGACCAATGAGGTCGCACCAGAGACCAATGAGGCCGCACCAGAGACGGAAGAGGTAGCTGCAGCGGAAGAGGAAACCGAAACGTCCGAGGAGGTGGTGGCTGAGACGGTCCCGGAACCTGCTCCTGCCACGGAGGAAGCAGTATCAGAGCCGCCTGCGGAGGAAGCTGCAGACCCTATCGAAGCTGCGAAGCCAAAGGAGGAGTCGGAGGAAATCGCTGAGACGCCATCGTACGCTGCGGTGGCGGCTGCGACTGCCGAGTCCGACGAGTCGGAGTCCCCGCAGGCGGACATCTCGATAGAGGAAGAGTCGGAGGTCGAGCAGCTGACCGACGCTGCGAAAGAGCCTGAGGCTCCCGCCGCGGAGTCGTGACGTCCCTAGCGCATTTGGACATCGTTTTTGGCTGCGTGTATGTATACGGTATACCCGATATCGCTCGGGGGTTGTTCGTAGCCTGCGGGCGTATCCCATGATGACTGACGACGGTGTGATCATTGCCGCATACCGAGTGGGCTAACCAAAAGTTGAGTATAGTAAGACAAGCAGGATGCGTACGAGGCTGGTATGGATGGGCAGTACAAAAACAGCAAGTGATGACAAGACAACATGAACGTTCCGCGGAGGGATCGTACAAAAACGTCCAGCAGACGATACAAATGTCAACATCTGCATTGGCATTGTAAGTACGAATGTACCATTCCACTGAAAGACGTGACATACCTATGAGCACCTTTACAGCCTGCGCTACCGCAAGTAGGCGGGGCTGATCGTCATCCACGGGTAGAAATCTCCGGACACCGTCTTCGAGCCCCCACGGGCCTTCGCCTTGATCTCGCAGAGCGCACGCATCGCGACGTCCCACGGAAAGCGCGACCACTTCAGGCTCGCCCGTTCGTGGTCATAATAGTACGCGTACGACGCCTTGATCGCCGTCGGGTCGTCGAAGCAGCGCAGGCCCGTCGGCCCCGCATGGAACTCCTTCGAGCGCTCGCGCAGGATGTCCTGCCGCCGCTCGATCGGCAGGTCCGTGAACGGCGACTTGCCCGCGCCGGCGTTCATCGAGCCCTTCCCCCCACGCAGCTTCTTCGCGGGCGCGGCAGCTATAGATTTGGCCTCGGACACCTTCGCGTACATCTCCTCGACGTGCCTTTTGATGCGCTGCAGCTCCTCGAACTTCGCGGGCTGCCCGGCTTCGAGCAGTTCTGTGGCGGTTCGCTCGGCCTCGAGGTATGGACGGGCGAGGTCCTGGTCTAGAGGGACTTTGGACAATGGGCCGAGATGTGGTTCGATGCGGCGCCGGTGGTTTGAGCAGATGATGTGGACGTGCTTTGAGAGCGTGTCCATGATGAAATATCCAAGCGAGGTATCGCGCTTCACCAAGAGGCAGTCCTGGTTTTCCTCCTTCCAACCGAGCTTTCCGGAGTTCCATGTCGCCTTGTGTTTAGCGAAAGCAATGGGGTCAATGGTAACCCCTGTTTTGCTCCCGTCGAGAATCGCACAAAACCTATCGTAGAACCAAATTGAGTACAGAGGTATAGGGTGCAGAAAATGTTTCACGCACATGTACGCCAGGAAAATAGTGTCCTTGTGCTGGTACCCTAGGCTATAAGTGCTCTTTTCCCACCAGATCGAGTACGTCGACACGTATGCACTGCCCCTCAATGCAGCAAGGAGGTAGTCCTGGAGGGCGGATATCCTGTATTCCTCTGGCGCCGAAGGAGGAACCCGAGCAAGGAAGGCCGAGACAGTCTCGGTGTTCTTCTTGAGGCATTGTTGGACCTCAGGAGGTTCGACTGCGAATACGCGTGGGTCCGGCTCCTTGAACGCGCCGACAAGAGCGGGGTCCCAGAAGACCTCCATGGTGTCGCCATCATAGTCACCTGCATTTGTTGAGCATGTACAACACTGACCCACGAACGTCATGCTTACCTCCACCTGTGAGACTCGCCAGATGTCGATCTAGAGGCACACCTTGGTATGTGTGACTCTTGGTGGAGACTACAATCACATTGCAATAATGCCGCAGCCTCTCATGGAAGACGGCTTTCACCTAGATATTAATTAGTCAATACCTGGTGACCAGTCGGAACACGCCACCCGTACCTTCTGGACGTCGCTGGGAACCTTGCACGGATGGCGGGTGACCTGTATGCGTCTCAATCATCCAACAGCTGGATGCACAGCAAGAGAGCCGTGATTTACCAGTACGTCTCCTAGGACGATGTCTGTCTGCCTCCCTTCTTGGTCGACGAAGTCTCTTCGTGAGCACTTGACGTGAATCTCGTTTGGCCCTAGTACGCCATAAGGATCTGCACTTGCCGTCAGCATTCGCTCATAGGCAAACAGGCGGGGACTGAGCACCAACCAGGTACGATGAACGCAGAGCATGACATTGGGACCGCGAACCGGTACTTCGTCTTGAATGTCGTCACGACCTTCTTCGCGACCTCCATCAGCTTCGCCCTTAGTACCGGACACGTCTGCGGCGTAAACCCCGCGTCGATGAGCGTGAGACACGTCTCCTCGAGCCCCGATGGACACCCGCTGACAGGGTCGTCCCACCAAGCGCTGCTCTGCTCGCGGAGTGCCTTCTCCAGCGCGTCGAGCCCATCCTCATCCTCGTCATCCTGATCGTCGTCGTAGTCGCGCGCGAACAGGCCTGCCGCACGGGCAATGCCCGCGGATTGGCGCGCCATACGCTGGGTGATAACTGAGCCCTCGCGCGCGACCGCATTCCACAGGTGCTGCATGCTCTTCGGGTCGTCCGAATTGAACAGGAGGAGCTTGTCGAGGCGCTCCGTTAGCTTCGCTTGGCAAAGGTTGACGAAGTAGTTGTACGGCACGCCGTTCTCGGCCAGGTTTGTGATCGTCTCGACGGCTAGGCGCGCCGGGGAATTCATCCGCGAGGCGCGGAGCACATCGACAGTGAGCAGGGCGGGGTCTGCGTCGGCGGGGACAATGCGCGTGTGGAGCGGGCTGGAGGTGTGCATGATCTTGATTTGCGAAGGGCGCAACCATACGGTGGGAGCCTCTTCTTCCTTCGGGGTGAGGTCGTGGTATACGCATAGGAGCCCCTTCGCGCCCGCGACACGACACTGGATTGCTGTGGGCTCCTCCCTCCATGCGGGAAACTTGGCCTCGAGCTTGCGCATCAGGGCGCGGTTGGCAAAGCCGCAGCCGTCTGTCATCTGCATCTCGCTTGGTGGCTTTCCAGGACCCTTGAAAGCGTCACATACTGACAAACATCAGCTGCGAGAGGAGGTGTATGCGCGACGGTCACGTACTGGTGTCATCTATGAACCGCACATTGGCGGGGTCCAGTCGGACGCCAGGAACTGAGTTTGACAGACCGAGGGCGAAGCGGGCGGTCCATTTCACCATCGTCTATGCAATGATTAGCGTCACGGTAGAGACATGCTATGAGACAACACTTACCTGTTCGGAGTTCAGCTCTAACGCGTTGTGCCAATCGAGCAAGTCGGTAAGAGAATATTCGCTTTGCGACGTAGATGATGTAGCGATGGAGGGCATTACAGACAATGTGACATCGCGGCCGTTTCCCACAACCTCCTCGTTTGTCCTGAAAAGAAACACGTTCTTCTCCTTCGCATAGAAGGCGCGGAACACCGCGCTGCCGATAATGAACGGTCTTCGGAAGTAGTTCGACAGCTCGTCGCCCTTGACGCTCATCAACAGCTCCTGAGGGATCCGTATGCGGATGAATCTTCGTGAGCCGAACCGCCGTGCAAATCGGTTAGAGGTGCCAAGCACGGGCCTGTCGAGCTCGAGCTTGAACTCGCCCTTCGCTAGGTTGACCTCCTGAAGGCGCGCTGTGAAATGCACGCGGCCGCCGTACCAGTCGGGGTCGTCCGCGCAGAACGGCTGGTTCTGATTGCAGCCCACGCCGCCCAGCGGATATTCGCGTAGAATCCGCTCCTCCTTGTCAAGCTCGTCCCACGGCAGCTGTCAAAATCAATCATAAATTGCGGAGACGGGCTAGCATTGTATGCGCCGCGCATACCTTCGTAGAGAGCTCGCGCGCGTAGGCGGTGGCAAATTGATCGTCGGCGGTTATGACGGCAGGGCCTCCCTTCTTGGTCTCCTCAACCAGCTTCTTTACCTCCTCGGCGGCCGCGGTCGTCTTGCGCTGCTCGCGCAGCTTGGTGACCTTCTCGAACTTCACAGTGGCCAAGTCGAAGCCCCTGTTGATGTAACGGGCGAGTTCCCAATGGGCACCCCATGGAAGGGATTCGAGGTATTGCTCGTAGTAAGGGCCGGAATACGCCTGTGGTCGTGAAATGAATCGCGGCAGGTAAGCAAATGGCAGCGTATACAGGGAGCACTGAACCCTACCACGACCACGGGTTCTGAAGCACGCCATCCCGGTGGCACTACGAAGGGAGCTGCAGGTACAGGAGCAGCAGTACGAGAGGATGCCGGCGCGGCGCTTAGTGAGGGCGCTGGCGGTAGAACAGGCGGAAGGGTAGCCGTTGTAGCAGGTAGCGCCACTGCTGGAGTAGGAGGTACTCCCGGCTTGGGAGGCGCGGTTACAAGAATGGAAGGGCGAGCAGAAGGGATGGTTGATGCCGGCTTGGTAACAGGAGGGGGACCTGACCCAGGATTGGCATGTTCCCGCGGAACGGGCTTAGGTCGATGCCCAAAGGTAGGAGGGGTGGGTAGGAGGGTGCTAGAACTGCTGTTGGAGGGTCCTGCACTGGAGTTTGAGCCCAGGAGAGTATCTTTGGAGCCCTCGGAACTCGTTTGAGCATCTTCCTGTGTCGTCCGACGTACTTGTCGCAAAGGAGCTTCCGTAGGTTCCTCTTCCGCGGCGCGTTTACGCTTCCCATAAGGCTGGGTTGTGCTGGGCGCGTCGGAAAGCGCGTCGTGGATGCCGTACACCGCGTTCTCCTTCTCCGCACCCGAGTCTGTGTTCCGTGAGTACGGCAGGAGAAGCTCATGACTCAGAATGCTCACCGTATTCGGCAATGATGATGCTCAGATCTTCGTCTAGCTGGTCGGTATAATGCGAAGACTATGTATCCAATGTGATGTTAGTTAGCTGAAATACTATACATAAGGCCCTCGGGGTGGGCCTCGCTACTCAAATTTAAATGTATCATAGTTCTATGAGCACACCACGGGCAAGACGTAAACACTGGGGTGCTCAAGAATATCCTGAAATACACCACGGTCCGCCGTGCGCGATGCCCTGACGGTGGCCCTGTTCGTACCCGCCACGGCAAGCCCTCTTACCACTAACTCAGGAGGTATATCCTCGGAAATCATGAACATGGTTGCTTGGAATGACATTCGTGAAGTTAGGCGCAAGGCAGTACATGATGCACTATAATCGAGACGGTATGACGACGGAGACACTACTAGTGAAGCAGCCCTACTTCGGCGATGCACACCTCATAAGCATAGGCAAATAAGCTCATGGGAACGCATGATTAGCGTTGGTAAACAGAGAAGCTCGGGACACTCCCATAGCTCGGTAGGAGTGTTCCGGGCTGCCCGATTCCCCGCTCAAACTCGTCCTCGGGTGTGGGGTACGGCAAAAGCCGCATCGAGCGCTCACCACGGCACTTGTAGACGTCGGCTACCCACCTGTGATGCCAATGAGACGGAAGATCCGCTCCGCGAAGGGATGCGGACGTCCTCGTTGAGGTCGCGAGGTTCCATTCGAGTTTGGGTCCTTGTCCGGAGAAGTCCAGTGGGAGGGGGCTGTACTAGTTGAGCGCTGAGCAGCAGGGGAAACAGGGGATATAATCAAGCGGGGTATATGAGGTCTAGATAGAGAGCAGATGGTGGACAGAAGCAAGCAGAACGAACATCAAGGCAGGAGGCAGGAGGCAGGAGCGTCGCGAGGTTCAAAAACGCGTCGGACGCGTCGGATATTTGGCGCCTGACAGGAAGGATTGGCGAAGTAGTGTACCAGCGTCTGCGCCGTGGTGGCGACTTTGCTTCCATCTTTGCTCTTCTCCTCGACGTCGGCCCCGCCGCCCCCTAGCCTCCTTCGCCCGGGCACCCCTACGCGCTGCTTTGAGAGATGTCGCGACAGGCGGCTTCATCGGCCTCGACGACGATGACGGCAGTGATGAAAGGAGGCCTCTTCGAGCAGCGCTCGCTTCGTCTCCTCCGAGAACATCTGTCCATGTCCCTCCGACGCGTCGGCGGCAAGGGCGACGGCGGGATCGACCTACAGGGATGGTGGTGGCTTCCTGCTGAGTGTCTTTCACATGCCCGTGCTAGCCGTCTGGACTCTTCTGCTTCGCCGCGCAAGCGGCTTCGGATCGTCGCACAGTGCAAGGCCGAAGAGAAGAAGATCGGACCTCGATTCATCCGCGAGTTCGAAGGCACAGTCCTCCGCCACTCTGCTTACCTGGCCCCGAGAGACCACGATGAGGAGCATCCGCCGGACACGCGCGACGCGCTCGTAGGAATGTTCCTCTCCATCTCGCCGTTCACGAAGGCCTCTATCCTCCAAGCGTACTCGTCGCCTATCCCTCTTGCGCTCCTGCATCTTCCTGTGGTCCCTAGAAAGGCCCTAGTGGAGGAGGGGACGGATCTGCGCGGGACCCCGGATGATCTAGTTTCGGCTGTCGTTGCAGAGCCTGTCTTACCTGGAACGCTTGTCTTCAATCCTGCTTTGGCTGGCCCTGCTGGACTGCTCCACGGGATGGTAGAGCCGCGCTTGCACTTCTCACCCGCCACCGGTCGAAGCTATCCAGCGATATGGAGCAACGGCAAGCAAATACGTAGCTGGACGCCAGAGGATGACAGTGACAACCCAGAGACGCCATGACACCGTGAGTGAGCTCATTACAGAAGCCGCCCATGCCAAGCTTCAATTTATGCATGATAATAGCGCGCTACTCGTACATTGTGTGTACCAGTACATTAGCACCTGCTGCGGAGTGCTAGCCCTTGCAAGAATCAAGAGACGACGCTTTCGTCCGACGAGGTAAAGTCGATGTCGTCCAAACAGATGGTGGTGGAGTCTGACCCGTAATCCCAAGACAGACGCGGTTCAAGCGCGATCTGTCGCAGGTTGAGAAGTACGTGGGACCCCTTGATGAAACGTAAGCATGCCAATTTCCGACATCGGACCGCGAGGACTTACAATAAACGACAGGACCGACGTGGCCCAGCTGCGACTCTGTGATCAATCCCAGCGCTGGCACCTCACGAAAGTGCACACGTACAAGTAGAATATCCCCGACAATGTCTCCGAAAACACTGTGTATATCACCGCGTTGAGCACCATGACCACTGCGCGTCCCGTGAGTGCGCACGCTCCCAGGAACATAGTAATAGCGGGAGGCTCACCCAGGGTCAGAATAAACGCCCACGTCCCATCGCGCACCATCGTGTTCAGGATCGGTCGCCTTAATCCCTCCCGGCGGCTTTGCCGAAACTTCAGCATCGTCAGCGCGAACATGAACGCGTCAAACGCGACCGGAGAAAGCCTGCGCAGCGTTTGCGTTAACATGCGCCCATAACGTGTACAGTGTAGCAACGCGCGGGTACTGCTGCGAGCCCGGCACGCCCGGGGACCTACCAAACGAGGATCATGATCCGCGGTGCGGATGATATCAGACACTGCTCGTCGAACTGCAGGTGGCCTGCTGCGGAGTACATTCCGAAGAACGTCGCGCAGAAGCTCGCTGCGAATCCTGCCAAGAGGGCGACGAGGACGACACGGCTTCTGTTGTACAACGCGTGCACTGCGGCGTGGATCAGCGACATCTAGAGGAGGTACGGAAGGGGCTGCGAGGACGAACCACGGACGAGAAGGACCAGTTCGACCGCGACGATCGTGCACTCGAGGACGATGGCGGAGGCGACGGTGTTTGCCCTGCACAACTTCCCCGCGGAAATCGTCGTCGGGCCTGGAAACACAAAGTACACAAAGAATACCCTTTCGTTGCGCTGAGCTGACTGGTCGGACAGTGATAGCAGAGTTGGATGACGTACATCTCTGCGAATAAGGGAAGATATCGGATGAAAGCGTACAACCACCGCAAGTACCCATTCGGCCGTCTGTTCTATATGATCAGTAAGGCAGCGGGTCAGAGCGTCTTTCAAGGTGCTCACCCCCAAATCAGCCGCACCTGCAAAGAATACAACGTCATTCGCTCGCCACTTGCGAACTCTCATATACCACGCACCTCCAAGGAAAAGGATATACAGACGTCCCATGCCAGGAACGTGAGCGCAGCAGCTACGACGCACACCGTAAGCACATGTGTACGGCGGGAACAGGGCGGGGCGCACCTGATGAGTACCCAGTTGTCTGGTCTGCCGCTCTATTGCGGATATAATCCGCGGCGCTTGCGGCATTGCGCATTGCACTCTGTTGAGAAGCGCCAGTCTCGTTATCATAAGCAGAGCAGACCTGGGCAAGGGCAGCCGGGTGGATTGATCAGGTGCTGCTATATATCTCCTTCCCCTACCCCCCCTGCCCGCCCGTCTCCGTCTCCGTATAGGCAAATAAACACCTCACGCGGCCGGTAAGACCGGGACGAGAGACGCAGACGGGCATGCATTGATCATCTCGCAGCTGTCACTGGGCGTGGGCTACCCCCACGGGCGCATCGCGCAGCCTAGGTAAATTAGCTCGCGCCCGTGCGGGGTGAGCTGCCCCCGGCGGGTTCGGGCGGATTTTCCAGTGCGCCCGATGTCAATGTAGGTCTTCTCGCAGGCCGCTGCTCAGCGCTCAGTGCTCAGCGACGAGGACTCTGTTTCGTGGGATGGCTGCACTGGAATCAACTCGAGTCGCTGCAGCCATTCTTCCAGCGGGTCGGATTCACGTACGGTGTTGCCGCCCATATACGCGCACAGGTTTCTTCTTGATTTGATTATTGGTGCGCACAAGACCAGATGCAACAGCGCTCAGGCCGTCTGCGCCGAGCCTGAGACAACGTATCAGTCTGAGCATTTCGATTGCCGGACTTGCGCTGCAGATGAGCGGTGGGTGGTAGCTCTTCGTGTAACAGAGCTCACTAGAAGTCGAGGACGGACCGCTCGAGTCTCTATTATTGCACGATGGACTTGCACAATGGACGCCCCGGAACCTCTGGAAGGTCAGTTAAACTTCGCCCCGAAGGTGTGCTGACTGATAACACCATTCGTCGACACTGAGTCGCTGACTTTTCTTGCTAAAGCGTGGCACATCAAGATGGTCTACCCCCAACGGACCGCTCGCCGAAGTTTTTTTTGCAACATTCCTAGGGAAATCCCGTTGAGGAGCGTGCAGGTACCATGCGAGCTCAAAGCCTTGCAAGACCCCGCGCGTCGCTCCCCTGCCGCTCCCTGAAACGCGTCGCGTCCGTGGATTTGCATGGAAGACTATCGACGGCTTGCGCAACATAATTCGCTGTGTCTTCTTCGGAAGTGAGGTGAAAAGACGTGTTTGCTTGTGCTAAAACACCGATCACGCCTGGCGCCCTCGTCGAGGACCGCGCGTCTCATCACATCTACCTGACCATAGTAATAAGCCGAAGGAGGCTGTAACTCCGGGCGTCTGCAACTATCAGTGAAGCGAAGTTGGGGCCCCTGTTTGGTCGAAACCTATGTGAGTACCATCCTAGCCGTCTTACAGGTGATACTGACCGAGACTGGGCCGAGGACTTTCGCGCAGCCTGCGCTCCGGACTGGTCGGTATACGTCATCCACCTACCGCTCGCAGGCGTCGCAAGACGAGCGCGTGCGCTTGTAATGCGTCTTCATATGCATCACGGCATCTATACTCTTCGTCGGTCGATGCATCCTAGAAAAGGAGGACACCGCCAGGATGATACCCTCGCAGAGTCAGGAAATGACGCCTACTCACGGCTTACTTGGTGCTCGTTCTGGTGCGATTCGCGCAAGCATCAGCCCCACCGCGGTCTAGGAGCGATGCTCGCGCGCTCCTCTTACTCGGCTAGTATAGCATACCGACTTCGGGGAGTCAGTCTTTCCGGAGTATCAGGGAATGATGGTTTTATCTGACGGGGTGATATCTATGTGACCCAAACAGAGAGTAGGGAGGGTATTCGACGTGTCCTCGCAGTACAGACCTGATTGAAGGGCGATCTGCCGCAGGTTCAGAAGTACGTGGGCACCCTTTGATGGACGGTAAGCGTGGGGGTTTCAGGTCTCAGACGTTGGGCCTCAAGAGCTCACGATAAACGACAGGATCGACGTTGCCCAACTGTGACGCTATCATCAGCATCGACGCCTGTACACCATGGGGACGCCCGCTTACAAATAAGCCACTCCCGGCAGCGTCTTTAGAAATACGTTGTATATTACCAGGTTCACAACCAGGATGACTATGTTTTCCGTGAGTGCGCATCCTCCCCTGACAGAACATAGCCCGTGTACCCGTTTCGCTCACCTAGGCTTAAAATAAACGCCCATGTCCCATCACGCACCATGGTATCAAGGATAGGTCGGCTCAACCCTTCCCGGCGACTCTGCCAGAACTTCAACACCGTCAACACGAACATGAACGCGTCGAAGGCGATCGGGGACAACCTGCGCAGCTCCCATGTGAGCATGCGGGCGTCCGTACAACAACGTCGGGCACGCAGACAGTACAGTGCGTTGAACCCGACACGTCCGCAGACACCCGCGCACCTACTCACCAGATGAGAGTCGTGATCCGCGGCGCAGACACTACTAGGCACTGCTCATCGAACTGCAGCTGGACCACTGCGCAGTACATTCCGAAGCGCGTCACGCAGAAGCTTGCCGCAAGCCCCGCGAGGAGGGTAGAGAAGACATTTTAGAGCGCGTGCCCTACGGCACGCATCAGCGACGCTCGGCGGTGTCGGACAATGAACGATATGCATGACGAACCGCGGACGAGGAGGACCACTTCGACCGCGAGGCTCGTACCCTCGAGGATGATCGCCGAGGCAGTAGTTTTTGCCCAGCACGGCTTGCTTCTAGTTACCGACGTATGGTATGGGAATACGAAGTAAGCGAAGAGTACCCTGTCGGCGTTTGAGCTCACCAGTAAACCGCTGCGATAGGTGCAACGTTCAACTCTCCTCGTAAATGAGCCTAGCGAATGGCGGCGTATACACATCGTAAGCACCGGTTCGGATGGCTGCTTTGTGTCAACACATGGCGGCGTAGAACGTGATAAAACCCTCCTACCTCCAAATCAGTTGCACCTGCGGAATACACACCGTGTTATACGCCGCTCCAACTTCGTCGCTCAAGGGATCACGCACCTCCTTGGGAAAGAATATACAAACGTCCCATGCGAGGAACGCAAGCGCAGCAGCTAAGGTATGTCCTTCAGGAGCAACATGAACCTCACGGCAAAAAGGCGGGACGCACCTGACGAGTATCCTGTAATATAGTCTGTCGCCCGGTTGCGGACCGCGATAAAAGCGGCGGCATCTGCAGCACCAAGCATTGCACACTGAGAATTCAGACCGTAGAGAAGCGGAGTCACGGCGCCCGGTGAGTCGTTAGTGCGTGCTATATACCCTTAACCATATGCCATCCCTTTCAGTTCAATATGCGCCAGTGGTGAGACCGATACTACCTGGACAAACGGAGTAAGTTGACAGCATTACGTTGCAGCTGTCATCCGCCGGTGCGCTACCCACACGGGCGCATCACAAAGCTTATCCGTGGTAGAACGCGCCCGAAGGGAGGGGAAATAAAACATTATTCTGTGCAGCCTCGCCCGCGCGAAACGGTTGTAATCGCGTTTTGTACTGCCCCTTGCGGACCGGAACAGCTGGGAGTGCGGAGGCGATAGCATTCCTCCCACCCCGGCCTAGCTTGAGGCTTTATAGTGAACTCGACCTTCAGCTGGGGACAGACTGGTGCTGCTCGAACCGCTATTATTATATGATGAGCGCACCCAAGGTACGCTTTTACCATCGATGATACGGATTCAGTGCTTCGCCACTGACCCTTCATCTTACATTGTTCAAAGCCGTGCAGGACATAAGCTACCTCCCAGCGACCAAACACGCTCGAAGGCACCGCTACTCACCGTCGATTGTACGCCTCGCATTCGTGGATGCCGCCTTGAGAGCTTGACGGCCTGCGGGGGATCGTCCACTGCGTCTTTGCAGTAAAGGACCTGTTTGCTTCTGCCAAGACGCTAATCCGTCAAGGATCCAGCATCGTGGTGTCCGATTAGGCCGTAGCGCCAAGCCGGAAAGAGCGCGTTTGCGAATCCCAAAAAGTCGAAGTCGTGGTCATCGTTTGGCATGCTCAACTGCTGCGGGTCGTTGTCAAGCTCAGAATCCCTCACGAGTACGTTTCCCTACACCTCGACGTGCTGCTTGTGACCACGCTGTGTGGCCGGTTGTAGGAACCTCATTTTTCCTTCCTAGCAGACACGCGCTCTCGCGCAGCGGTCGCGCTTCTCCGCTCTCTCGCGGAATTCGAAACCGTTCCCGACTAGGCGGGAGAGGCAAACCTCCGGTCCCGGGCGTACGTGCTGCATAGCATTCTCAGTGCGCCTTTCGCATCATGGGCCAGCCCCGGGATATCAGACTGCTGGACTTGAAGACCGGGCTGCGGGCGTAACCAGAGTATCCTCCACTACAGGCACAGTGCCTGGCTTCTCCCTCTTCCTCGCAGCTGCTACTCACTTGCCGCAGTCGTGTCTAGTCGTGTTCACGCATGCTAACAGTCAGTGAGCGCTAGCAATCACCCAGGTATGCGACGCACCCCGTATTTGTGACACAGCGTTCGCCCGTTCATCATCAATAGTGGCTCTCTGGTGGCACTGTGTCATGACGAATCTTGTTCGGTATACTAGCGCGACATGTGCAACATGTTACACCCGAGATGCGACTGGCTTACGGTGCAAGGTGGTCGTCATGCACAGCCGCCCGGATTTCTAGCAGCACGGACAACCCATTCCTCTACACGTTCGCTGCGCCACTGCGCAAACGCGAGCCTCAATATTCAACCTGTCAGCGGGAGGGTCGTTGAGAAGGTTACGCACGATATAGGGAAGCGCCGCGGGATGCGAATCCAATCAAGTGTCCTGATGCGCAGCAGTGCCCTGTCCCCGCAGCAGCACCTCCAACCCGATCACTCGCGACGGAGGTCGTTCAGCCGCCGGCGTCCCCCCAGAGGCGACCATGCGTGACATCACCGCGAAACACTCGGAATCTGGGGCCCCGTCCAACAGCAAACACTCTGACAGCGCGTACAAGGATGCGCTGTTACCGCGTTCGTATGTTGCTTCTAGCCGTTTATAGCACGCGCCCTAACCCCGTGCACACATTTGTAGAACAATGCGCGGCTGATTCTTCATCTACCGACTCCACAGGCTCCAAGTGCGATGCTGCTGCTCGACAACGGGGGGACAACCGCCTTGCTACCCCGCGCTCGAGGCTCAGCGTCTCGCCTCAAGGGTGCACCCTCTTTGCGTGCCCGCGCTGCGCGACGCTATATAAGACCGTCCGCTGCGCGGTCCTATTCCCCATCGCCCCTGGTCGAACACTTGAGCCCGGTTGCTCACTTCACTGTCCCCTTGCACTCTCCGAACCCTCTCAATTCACGCCGCATCGTCCGTGCCTTTTCATTCGCGCCCCACCTAATCTCTCGCATCTACACTCGTTCTACGCATCTGCTTCGACGATCGTCTACCAGCACACAACCCACTTCTCGCATTCGCCACCACTCGTCCACCATGTTCACCACGAAGCTCTCCGCGCTCGTCTTCCTCTCCCTCGCGGCGCTGTCGCAGGCGGCCCCCGCCAACGTCCAAAAGCAGAACGCGCTCGACGCGCAGAAGCAGAACTCCCAGTTCGCTGGCCTTGATGCCAACTCTTCCTGCAACGGTACGTCCATCCACTTGCTCCTCCAACGAGGTGTTACTCATCATGCATTTCAGACGGCGACCAGGCCTGTATCCAGGGTGCGTTCGCGCAGTGCGTCAACGGCCAGTTCCAGCTCCAGCAGTGCAGCGCCGGCACCACCTGCGTCTCCCTCCCGCTTGTGAATAAACCTGGAACGTCTGTCGCCTGCGACAGCACCAAGGACGCCGAGGCGCGCATGCAAGCCGCTGGCGTCTCCGGCGGCATCACTGGCCAGGGCAAGAGCTCCGGCAAGAGCGTTGACCTCTCGTCCGTGGCTGCCACGGCCACCGCGGCGGCCAGCAGCTCCAACTCTACGGTCGTCGCTACCGACTCGAGTGCTGCCACCGACACTGCTGCGGATGCTACCGCGACTGCCACCGACACCGCTGCCGACGCTACTGCGACCGCGACCGACACTAGCGTCGATGCCACCGCTACCGACGCGTCTACTGCGATCGCTACCGATAGCAGCGTCGGCGCGACTGCGACCGCCTCCAACGCGACCGCTGTTGCCACCGACAGCGGCGCCGCTGCGACCGCCAGCGTCGTGACTATCACCGTTACCGTGACTGCTGGCGGCGCCGACGCGAACTCCACCGCTACGGCCACCGACAGCCTTGCTGCCACTGCCACGGACTCGGCCGCTGCTTCCGTGACCGACACGAGCGTCGCGACCGCTACCGACTCCGCCGCGGCGACTGCCACCGACTCCGCCGCGGCGACTGCCACCGATTCCGCTGCCGCGACCGCCACCGACTCTGCCGCCGCGACAGCGACCGACTCCAGCGCCGCCGCCGCGACAGACTCCGCAGCGATCACTTCTGCTGCCGCGAGCTCTGCCGCGGTGACGAGCAGCGCAGCTCTGTCATCCATCAGCCTCCTCATCTGAGGGACTCGCGGACGGAGCAAGCTGGGACGGCGGCGGCTGTGCGCTGATACGGACTACACATTGGACGATGCCGGGGCTGCGCGAATATTGCTCGGACATTATGTATCGCTGCGCGCTACGGTACTCGACCCTTACGGTTGCCCGTGGTACTAATAGGGCTCGCGCGCGGCGAGCTGACTGCGCGGCGCTGGGTAGTTCTCTAGATATCCATCTGCGCACCTGTAGCAATAGCCTTGAATGAAAACACGAACACCGCACGCGTGTGATTGTGGCCAGGAATGCATTATGCAAGGGGGATGTCCGAGGTTCGTTGGCTGCTAAAATCTGTAGAAAGTTTTACGTCGTTGGTGACCTTTTCACCTACTTGAGATGTCGAAGGGCCTGGAAAAAGGAGTGCCTTGTTTGAACATTCTCTGGCCTTTGCCTAGCCTTCTCTGCCGTTCGTACTCAGGTCAAAAAAGTTCAGAAAAAGGTGCCACTTCGTCCAAGTTTCCCGGGAGCTTCTCTGGGGAAGCCAACGGTTTGTTTATGCCTACCGTACCATCCGTATGCGCTACGACGGGCAGAGGCTCATGCCGACTGCTAGTAAGACATGCGGAGCAAATGTACTTACAATCTCATAGGCAGCTACTGGCGCTTGATCCCAAAGGAACAGAATCCTACGTTTCCGATGCAATTCTGAGCGGTTGGCTTGCACATTTGTCCTGCCGTGTGTGAGCTGAGCTGCTCATGATCGTCGCCTTTAGGGGTTGAATGTATGTTGAACCAATGTCGGGACATCGCGTCTGGGGTGAGGATCGCGGGAGGAGGTGATGAGGAGGGATGAATGAAGAAGACCGTGGGGAAGATGCTGGAGTGTGGGAAAGGAGAACAAATGAGCCGGGCTCCGTGCCTGGCGCAATGCCGACATCGACGATCGCCTATCCTCCCTCCCGCTGCCCTCTCTTTCGCTTCTCCTCTTCCTCTCTCGTCGGCGGCGACATCTGCGCCCAACTCGCCCACTGTGTGCATGCGTGCACGGGCTGCTGCGTAACTCAGCCTCATCTGCACTACTTGCTTCGCCTCCTCTGCGCCGGGCGTTGCGCAGTCTGACATCCTGCTATATACACCTCCGAAGCTACGCCGACACCAACACACCTCCCCCTTGACCGTTAGCCACCAACCACGAACATGGCGAAACCCAAGAAACCTACACCACAGGAGCTCTACATCGAGAGGAAGAAGCGCGAGGAGGCTGAGAAAGAGGCGAGCCTACCTCCGGGGCTCATAAACCACGGTAACACCTGCTTTATGAATTCCACTCTACAAGGGGTATGTGTAGCCACATCTTCACTTGGTATTTCAGCTGAACAAGTGGACAGCTCATCGCAACCCAGCCATTGCGAGATCTCGTTTTCTTTCACCCCGTCTCTACCGCGTTGCAACCAGCCGAGGGTTCGCGTATTCTTGCCAAGAGATCTCCCCAACTCACAAACGGCCATGGATTGGGCGACTCAGACGAGCTTGACTGGTCAGAAGGGATGCCACTAGGGGACATCTTTACCACTGTCATGAGAAAGGCTTGGGGCATCCAGGATGCAAGGCGGAGAGAGACCATGAGCCCAAAGTGGGTACCCGCACAGTATTCACCGCGCTTATCCCTAACATTATCTTCATAGGGAGGTGCTAACCACCATCGGGCGTAAGTACGACCAGTACCTCGACTTCCGCCAGCAGGATGCACACGAATTTCTGCGGCATATGCTCGACGCTATGCGCATGGAGGAGCTCGATGTGCGTCTTTTACCTCGGATATAGCTCGCTGTATGCTCATCTCCTTGCAGATCATCAAGAAACGACAACCTCCCCCACCAAAGAAAAAACGCAGACGGCATGACAAGGAATCCGCCACCCCCTTGGCATCTCCTGCACACCCAACTTCCGCACTACCCCCAATACCTTCATCATCATCTCAGTCATCCCAGACCGCACCTCAACCCTCACCAGTTGCTCCGCCAGAACAAGCGCTCGAGCCACACGGCGATGACAAGCTCGAGTCGTTCGTCGACATGCTCTTCGGCGGACAACTCGCGAGCATTCTCGTCTGCGAACGCTGCAAGAACGTCTCTATCACATACGAAGACTTCAACGACCTCAGTCTAAGCATCAAACCCGAGGACTACGCCAAGGGCCGCAAGCGCGACCGCATCAAGCGCATCGCGCGCAAGCTCCGCATCCGCCCGCCTGAGCCACACCGCCCGCGCGGCATGTTCGGCGGGGTCGTGCAGCGCGCGTCGTCCGTGCCCGCGAGCCCCGTGCGCCGCAGCTCCGAGCTTCCAGTCGATGAGGAGCCACCGCAGCACGAGGATCCGCGCCGACGGAGCTTCGACCACGCTGGGGGAGAGGCGGACGAGGCGCGTGATGTCGTGAAGGAGATGGCAGGTGCGGCGTTACCGAGCGCGGGGCTCGGGTGTGCGATCGCGGAGCATGAGGAGGACGAGGACGCGGTGGAGATCACGCATGCGGACGCGGCGGAGGCCGAGGGGAGTGGGAACGGCCCGGAGGAGAAAGGGAAAGATAAAAAGGACGATGCGTGGGGGAAGATCGCGCGGCGGATCAGTGTGTCGATGAAGCTCGGGGGCGCGCGGGATAAGGACCGCGAGAAGGACAAGGATAAGGATAAAGACTCGCGGCCGTCCAGTCGCCAGAGCGAGCGCGGGCGCAAGTCAGACATGAAGGACGCACTGCGCCCCAAGCGTGGCGGCGAGGCGCGTTCGCCCCGAACGGGTTCGCTCGCGCCTGGGGCCTCCACCCACGACTCTGCGTTGGACTCGGGTGAGATCTCAGACCCTGGCCGCCCGAGAGCATCGTCGCCCGTTCCGCCATCCCCACGCATCTCTTCGCCGCTGGTTCGACCATCCAGCTCGCGACACTCCTCCACAAACCCGTTCAGCCACCATCACCACCGACGGAAAGAAGACGCAGCGAAGGCCTACGCCGCCCCGCATATGTCGGACGATGACATGGCGTACATCCGGCGTGTACTCGCGGATGTGCACCCTGTAACAGGCAACCCGCTTTCCATCCTCCAGAACGCTTTCAGCACCAGCACCAGCAATGGTTCGGGCATTTCGGGTACAACGACGCTTGCCACTCAGGCGCTCTGGGCGAAACTCGGCCATCTACCGGGGATCGAGGAATGTCTGCGCATGTTCACCGCGGTCGAGATCCTCGACGGGGAGAACATGGTCGGGTGCCACCGATGTTGGAAGATCGCAAACGGGCTGTACAAGCCGCGTCCGCGCGAGCACGGTGTGTCTGTAGGGTTCGACGAGGACACGGATAGCGAGACCGAGAGTGAGAGCAGCAGCAGCTCGTCGGAGACGTCGGGGTCGGATAAGTCGGACGCGAGTGTGGCGAAGGCGTCCGTATCCGGTACGCACCCCGTCGTGCCAGGGCTCCACGACATGGACGGCGGGGCGCCTGAGTCGTCGCCGGATCTCAGCAGTGGCCGTGTTTCGCCCGCGTCGACGTCCAAAGTATCGTCGCATATCACGCACTCCTCGAGCACGACATCCATATCTTCCGCGCCAACGACCGTGGAAACTTCCGTATCTCCCCCGAGGCCGACACCCCATGCGCGGAAGGACAGCGTCGTCCCCCCAGAAACGTACGGTGGCCTGCCGATTCCTAAGATTTCTACGACCGAGCCCGAGGCGCCCAACTCTGCGCCGACCAGCCACACCACTTTCCATGCCGATCCAAGTGAAGCCGGAGATGCCCTCACCCGTACTTGGTCTACCCCTGGCGCGGTCGGGGTCGCGGCTTCTAGCGACTCGCTCCTGACACCACGCGCTCGGCGCATCGGGCGGACCAAAGGCGGCCGGAAAGACGGCATCGAAGACAGCGGGGAGAGCTCGGACGACGAGTTCGACGATTCCGAGAGCGACACGTCCGCCGCGGCCTCTGCCCGCTCGGATGGCTCCATCTCCCCCTCGGTCTCGCCGAGCGCGTCGCCCAACTCCTCCGTCGAGAAGCTCACGGGCGTGTCTCCATTGGGCTCGCCGCGCGTACACACACCGCGCGGGTCGGCAGATGCAGCGGCGAAGATCCCGCGCTCGAAGCAAGTCGTGCTGCGCAAGATGTACAAACGCTACCTGATCAGCACGCCCCCACCGGTGCTCGTGATACATCTCAAGCGCTTCCAGCAGAGCGCGAAGGTGCACACGATCTCGCTCTCGGGCGGGTTCAAGAAGCTGGACGACTTCGTCGCGTTCCCGGAGCAGCTCGACCTCGCGCCGTTCCTCGCGCCGAAGCGCGCGGACTTTGCGCACGACCAGGTGGAGAAGGGCAAGGGGAAGACGGAGCGCTGCATGTACCGGCTGTATGCGGTCATCGTCCATATAGGCAACATGGTATGTCTCGGTTTCAGTCTTCCTGTGTGCGCGTGAGCTCGGCTGACTCGCTGTTCCGGTTTAGTTGGGCGGCCACTACGTCGCATACACGGCGCTGCCACAAAACACGATCGTACCGCAACCGCCCGTTACGCCCACACCATCCTCCACGCCCGCGCCACCGTCCCCGCCCGTAGCCGAGTCCGAGAAGCCAGCGACTCCCTCCCTATCATCGAACGAGTCCCGCTCGAGCCAGGCGTCAGATCCTCCGCGCCCACAGCAGCCGCACCAGCGCCAGTGGGCCTACATCAGCGACACGATTGTCCGCCTCACGACGATCGAAGAGGTCCTCAAAGCGAAGGCATACATCTGCATGTACGAGCGCGTCTGAGGCTCCACCCTATCTCTCGTATCCTCTCCCCCTTTGCTTAGCGTATCGCCCTCTCCAATACCCTACCCTCATCTCGATTTCCATGCTTGAAGTCACTCAAGACCCGGGCTTAGCTACCTTCGTCAATCGCATACACTGCATCGCATACATCCCTTCCGGCCCCGCACATACATACAGAGAGACAGTGCAGCGATCCACGCCAGGCTAGCGGGAACTGCCCACGGACCATCTATCGACCGCAAGTACTCTAACAAGCCATGTATTGTATACCTAACTTATGTCTCGCGCGACCACAATCTTTTAGAGTCATCTGTAGGCTTACATGTACCGTAGTGCGATCTCTTGTACACATTTACTTGCCGCGGCGTACGGGGAGTGCCATCTCGCCCTTCGGAGCTTTGGAACCGATCGTCCGTTGAACATTAGGAACGCACAACTAGTCTCACATATCGCGCCTTATATGCACATGGCAGTACGCTCGTGGAGAGCATTCCTCACGCTTGACTCAATTGATTGTTGAACGAAATGGACTGATTGGAAGACAGAGTAAACATTGGATTGGATACAACTAACACGTACGTAGGTTACGGGTAGAGACTAATACAGCTGTGGTGTAATACATGGGTATGAAGAGGAAGAAATGGTCGTAATGAAAGGCGCAGCGTGGAAGAAACGGTCATGACCAGTCGTGGATACATCCGGGATACAAGACATCAGGCGCAAAGATGGAATGTCCGGGATTCACAAGAGCTTCACGACTTAGACGATGGTGAACCTGGAGAGTACATTATGAGTTAAGATCCATGCAGCATAGCAAGAGAGAGAGCACTTACGCGTCACTGCGCCATTCTTGCCCACGGAGCGCGGCCTCCTCGCGTTCTTGGGTGCGGTTGACCCACCCAGCGGGGTGACCCTGCGCGGGTAGCAACGCGGAGTCGCGGCGCGAGACAATCTTGAAGTGCGAGCCCTTCTCCTCTGTCTTGCTCTTGACCGACTCTGCCTCTGCCTTCTTGCGCTGGAACAGCTGTGTGCCCGCATCAGGATACCGCATAAAGTGAGAGCAGCATAAATGCACATACCTCCTGCAGAGCCTGGGTCCGCGATTGGCCATCGGTGTTCTTGGCCTCAGACATGCGGTCGCGCACACCCACGAGCTGTCCATCGACGTACTCCAACCCGGTAGTGACGGCGTCGGCGATAGCCTTCTGGAGCTGGCGCTTGACGAGTCCGGTTGCGAGAGGGCGGAGGGTGTTGTACAGGGTGTCGTGCTTCGAGTCGCGGATGGAGAACTTAAGCGTCCCAACCTTCACGTGGACGTTCTTGACCTTGAACACGCTCGACCGATCCTTGTCTGCGGACACGATGTGGGCGGTGATCGTAAGACCTTCGCCGCCAAGCAAGACGTCGGCGAGACCGGAGTCGGACAACTTCGGGAAGCCGGTCTTCTTCTTGAAGTAGAAGGCGACATCGCGCATGTCCGCTTGGATCTGACCGAAAGTCAAGATGAACTCGTGGTGGTTCTCATCCCTATGGATAAAGTAAGCAACGGAAGAAAACGATGTGCAATGCCTCGATGACGTACTTGATCGCGTTGTACGGGCTGAACTTGACGAAGTTGTGCGCCTCCATGCTGACAACGTTGGGGAAGAGGTTGCGGCCGGACAGTGCGAGGTTCTCGATGACCAAGTCCAGCATATCGTCGGTGTACTCGATGCGCGGGATGGGAACGTATCCAACCTGTAGGGTACATGTTCAATCCACGTGTGTGCACGAAAAGATCCTGACTTATACACACCTGATCGATGATGCTCGGCAGGATAACCTTGCGGATGTCCATCCAAAGGTCGGGCTTGAACTTGAGGCTTCCTTCGCTGTCGAAGAGAAGATCCTTCGTGAGGCGCGCCCAGTCTTCGCCGAACCTCTTGTTAAGAGGATCTTCGCCGAGAGCACGGAACCACTCCATCGCGGCGTTGAACAGGTTGTCGAAGTGGCCCTTGTACTTCTCGTCGTAGAAGCGACGCCCGTTCTCGCGAAGGGCGTTGGCCTCGTTGTTGCACTGCGGCTCCAAGACGAAGCCGGGGTCCAACAAGACCTGCGCCGCTCGCATGTAAGCGTATGGACGATGAAATATAGCCAAATGCATACCTTGCGAGTGTATGTGTCGACGTCCGAGAACCATTGCCTGAGCTCAGCGTCCTCTTGAGCATCCCTGAAGAGCTGTTGCATAGCGTCACCGATGAGGGAAAGGCTCTTTCCGTTGGCAAATCGCTCGAGCAGGGTGCGAAGCTCGGAGGTGGCCTGTTGCAATGTCGAGTCGCCCTGGACCTTCTGGGCAGAGTCCTTGCCGTGGTCGACGACAGTCTTCCCATGAGAGGCGTACTCTTCGAGGAAGTTCAGGAGCCATTGAATAGATTCCTGGTAGTCCTTGTGCTTCTGGCACTCTACGATGACCTGTGCAGAAGTCAATTAAGATGTCTTTCATTCAGGATAGGCGGTAATAGTACCTTCTTGCCACGGTAGATGAACTGGTCACGGCGCTCCTCAGGGAAGTAGTCCTCGCTGAGAACCTGCTTCGCGCGGTTGAAGTTGTCGTTGGCGCGGTCCTTGTGCTCTTGAGGGACGCGATCGGTCATGTTATCCTGAAAGCTTGTTATGAGCACCTTGATCACGTTGCAGCGATTCGTCCAGACGTACCCTAAAGCCGCGAATCTTGTTCATGAGACCGGACTTCTTGGCTTCCGCGTCTGCGCGATCCTCAGGGACGGGATCACCGCCAATAGCGTTCCTAGTGTCCTCGGCCTCGATCTGTTCATCGTTAGCACCACGGTCGTAATGGCAAAGTGTGGGCACAATTACCTGCGCACGCTCGATAGCCTCATCCTTGCGCGCTTGGGTTTCGTTGATGGCCTGAGCGCCGCTCTTGACTTCGCCATTGCTTTGCGTGACCTTCGCGCCATGGCCCAGTTCCTCGTGGGGATGCTGAGCAACAGTCGTGTCGGTCCCAGGAATGCGGGCTTCGAGCACCTGTAAATCGTTGAACTGATATTCGAATAGAAGACGCGCATATACTCACCGGCGTCTCATCTGGACCAACCAGGCGTCCACCCTCGGAGACAAACTGGTCTCGAGGTGCAGACTCGTCCACCTGGGCGAGGCGATCGGCGTCGGGACGCGCCTTGTCAGCGACCTTGCTCGCTGTGCGAGCCAAGATGTCGCGACCGATCACGGAGAAGTCCGTAACGAGCTTGCGGACTTCCGAGTTGGTAAGGACGAGGGAGAGGAGAGTGCGAAGGTGCTTGACAGCCTGTTGGCCGTCGCTCTTCGCCTTCTCCTTGTCGACGGGGACGACCTCGCTGGGGTCCTTCTTCGCGTGATCAACGTTCACGTCGCGTGTGTGCCAGACGAAGTTCTGGAAGAGCTCGTCGGCGTTCTTCTGCTGGACGATCTCGCGGGCGGTCTCGATGATGTCGCGGGTATCTTGGATGAGTCGTTGGCCGTCAGGAGAGAGGTCCTTGACGTCAACGGGGGAGTTCTGGAGAACGTATTTGAGGGTTTTGTCGATCTGGTCGTTGCCGGGCATGCGCGACTCGGCGAACGCCTTGATGACGCCGTAGAATCTGAGTTTGCGATCGACATCTGCAGCCTGGGTCTTCTTGTCGACGGGGTCGACGACAGAGTTCTACAAAGACGGTGAGCAACGCGTCGCAGACGTCTGACCATGAGATGCACGTACAGCGGCGGGCTTGTCGCCGACATCCTTCGTGGCAACAGGGAGAGACATTATGTGGTCGTGAGGATAGAGCGGAGATTATTCGTGAGTATATGCGAGTATATGCGGCGCGTCGTGACGGAGGAGGAGAGAGTTGGGATTGTGATATGACGGAGGGCGCGTCGCGTTATATACTCCCGCGGACGATGACGCACGGACGAGCACAACGTCATCCGTCACATCCACGGCCGCATTGGGACAGGACGTGGGTACGCGACGGAAGCCTGGGCGGGAGGGTATGATGTCAGCGCGTCGCCGATCGTGTCTCGTCGACGAGTGCAAGCAGGGAAGGCCCTGTGTACCATTTAGCAACGCCACGACTCCATCCAATGTGGCTGCTGCGCAGACGTACCACTCCCAACACACCAGACGCGACGGGCAAGCCCCAGGCTTGCGACGTTATCAGGCGCGAGCCGTCACTAGTGCCCCCGCTCATGGTGGTACTCCAATTGCCAGGGCGAGGAGCGTTGTGGAGTGCGGTCTTTCGAGCTTGATTGAACGCAGGCGGAAGCGCTCAGGAGGGCCCAAAATCAGGGTTAGGGTCCTCTATAGGCGCTCCGTCACGGTCACGTCATAATGAACGGAACCGCCCGAACCGTTTCTTCGGGTCCGTCCGCACTGGCCAGGTCCTCCCACTCGTGCACCAGCATCCATGACGCTCCATGACGATGTTCGTGCACGCGATGGCAGATCGGCTGTGGGCTCTGCAAAAATACTTACATTGATCTTTTGCTTTGAAGAGCAGCTGCATCCTGCGCATAGTGACGAACACCGCGAACTATGCACTATGTTTCTTTGAGTTTCAGACTTCTTCTTCTATACGCACGCACAAATCCACCCTACAGTCTACAACGCCTTCAACAGCTCACTGAACTTTTGCAGTACTACCTTGTTCTCATCTTCGCTCCCAATCGTGATCCTCAGGCACCCGGCACATCCCGCCTCGTTTCCTCGGAACCGCACCACAACGCCCTCCGACTCCGCTAGCGTCTTGTAGATCTTCCCCGCGCGTACATTATCCGGCGCTCCGCTCCCATCTTTCGCCAGGACTGGAACCATGACGAAGTTTGCGGTGTTTCCACCGATCGCGGGGCCCAGGCCTAAGGGTGCGAGTGCCTCCAGTCCGCGGAGGAGTGACGCGCGCGACGCAACTAGCGTGGAGACTTTCTGCTTCATCAATGCGACGGCGTCGGGTGACAAGGCTGATTGCGCGAGGGCGGCGGTGGGGGTGGAGATGTTGTATGGCGCCTTTGTGTTCATGAGGATTTGGATGAGGGACGGGTGGGCGAACGCAATCCCTAACCTGCAGTGACAAGATAAATAAGCAATCTTACACGTCCATCAGCAGGAGAGCACGTACCGAATGGCGGCCAGACCGAAGCTCTTGCTAAGGGTTTGCGTTACACAGAGGTTCGCGTAGTCCTTGAGCAGCGAAACCGCGCTCGCCTCCTCGTCCGCGAAGTCGATGTATGCCTCATCTACGATGACGATACCCTTGAAATCCTCGTACTCCAGAATCTCCCGTATTGATGATAACGGGATAAGCGTGCCGGTGGGGTTTCCGGGAGAGCACAGGAATATGAGCTTTATTGAAGGGTCCTCCGAGATCGCTTTCTTCACCTACGCGCAGCAAAACGTTTCAGCATGGGAAACAGCGCTTGTACGCAAACAGGAAGGCTCACACCTCGTCCACCCTGAGCGAGAACCGCCCGCGTTCTCCGCCCTCACCCGCATCCCCACTAAGCTCTAGAGGGACCTTCACGACGCCGACATCGTTGACCTGCGCGCACACCGAGTACATGCCGTACGTCGGGGGCGTGATCAGGATCTTCTCCGTCCCAGGCGCGACGCATACCCGAATGAGCAAGTCAAGCACTTCATCGGATCCGACGCCCAAGAAGATGCTCTCTGGGCCAGAGACACCCCGCAGCTCCGCAAGACGCTGCTTGATGGGGTCGTGGGTGGGCGAAGGGTAGCGGTGAAGGTCGAGGCTCAGCGTGGGCTGGAGCTCGGGCTCAAGAGCAGACGAAGAGGCGGATGGAATCGAGTGGCCGAGAGCGTTCTCGTTCGCGTCAAGCAGGATTCCTTCAGAGTAGTCGTCGCGTGCGCATCGGTATGGGTGGAGGGCGAGGATATTCGGCCGGATGACCTTCTCAATATCGAAGTGAGCCGGTTTCGTCGGGTACAGTTCCGGGGCGAGTCCAAGGATAGGCATGTTGAGGAGGAGATTGAGGGATTTAGATCACGGAGAAAGCCAGTATGTCTTGCAGACTAGAATGAAGGTGTCTGGCCAGTGGATGGGATGACTGTGTGCAAGAGAGATGACTCGCGCCTCACGAACAGTTTGACTCTGAGAGCAAGTGCCACACTGATTAGATAGCAAACTGCCCTATTTGGGAATGCTGTCGATCAGTCAAAATCGCGATCCGCGAGTGGCACCGCCACAAATAGCATGATGGCATGCGAGTGCGGCACGCGTTGTTTGACTCTCTCCTCATCGTCCGTCGCGACCACGGTTTCTTCTGCTTGGAATCCTACGGGATACCTCATATTCTGATTGAAAATGCCCGGACCACGTGGAAAGGGAAAGTCTGGACGTCCCAAGGCTCGGACACCATCTACCGCGTCGGGCTCGACCGCCCATAACACCTACACCATCCCGGAGGGGTTCTTCGCCGACATCGACAATGCAGGGACATGGCGGCTGATTGTGGATGTACTGTGTGAATACCTGGCGCTTCCAGGTACGTTGCATTACCACAGAACTCAAGCCTGGCCACTTACGCCACGGGCTAGACCTTGGGACGAGGAGCGGCTTGAAGAAAGTTCACGCTCACTTCCCTGAAATGTCTAAAAAGCTCGATACCATGTACATCGCTGCGCAGAAGAAGGGCAACGAACGCCTTATGGGCGGCATCGTTGGCGTTTGGGCGAAGATGTGCGCCGACTCTATCCTAAGAGACAAGCTCTTCCAAGAAGGTGCGCCTCGTGCAATGTGGGATTGGTCTTGTTCCCAGAAGCTCTGCACCCGTGCCATATTTCCGTGGCCACCGGAGTGGGGCGTTTTGGGACGAGACCAGCATCAAACACGTTTCGGACGATATCTGACATGTGCGCAGGGCTGCTCTCCAAGGTTATGCCACTCATTGAATACGATTCCACCCGCCATATGGCACTGAATGCGCTCTCTGTCGTCACACACCACGGCGGCGTTGTCGCCCGGCGCGAAATTGCGCGCAAGAACCCTGTGCTTATGAAGCTCATACAGGCCCACCCGGATGACGCGAAGGTGCTGGAACTGGCGACCGTGACCATGGCGCACGCGACTAACGCCGTGTTGAGCGTCGAAGACCCGCCAGATTCGGGGCTCGTGAAGGAGATTCAGGTCCGCAATGTCCTCAATACGACCGTCGAGAACGTCCGGAAACCAATCGCGACGCACTACATGATCGACCACGCATTCGGTCTCCTCACAAGTGCGACACGCCATTGTCCAACGGACTGCAAGTCGACGCCGTCCATGCTCACGCTACTGGTGTCCTGCCTCCGAAGCGCCAATATCATCACGCGCTGCAGTGCGCTCGGTGGGCTCATCCGCCTCACCGCGAACGAGTCCGAGCCAGACCGGCAGAACTTCGACCCGCAACGGCTCATCACCGCCGTGCAGCGAGGTTTCCCCGACAACCTGTCCGACCTCATGATGGACTACGGCTTCGAGCGCTGCGACACGACGCTCACGCTCAAGAGCACCGCGGACTACCAGCGCGCGATGATGCAGTGCGCACAGGACCACGACCTCTACTCGCTCGGGCGCACCCTCGCCATGCTCATCCAGCGCACCGAGTTCTCCATCGCCGAGGGCATGTTCCAGGCAGATGGCCCGCGGCGCGAGGCGATCGACATCGGGCTGCCGTTCACGATGTGGACGGACTCGCTGCCGCACTGTGCGCGTGCGCTCCGCGCCCGAGGCTCCCGCACGGACTTGGATATGGCGGACGTGCTCGACCTCAAGTTCTTCATCATCCGGTCGCGCATTCCCGACGCGATCGCGCTCGGGCAGCGTGCGGTGGAGCGGAACCCGGACCTTGCGTACGCGTACTACGCGATCAGCATGGGCGCGGACCACCAACAGGGCCTGCGCGCGGTGAAGAAGGGCCTGAAGTGCAAGACGATCACGCCGTTCGTGCGCCAGTACCTACTTTGGCGCGCGGTGGAGCATGCGGGCGACCTCGGGGTGAGCACCCTGCAGGACGCGAAGAGCGAGGGGAAGGACTACGCAGAGGGCATTGCGTTTCTTATGTCAGCATGGGAGGACGCAAAGACGTTCACAGCGGAGGCGCCACCCGATAACCGCCACATGCAGACCATCCTCAACTGGTACATCATCCTCACTATCGCCATAAAGGGCCCAGAGCTCAGCGAAGACTTGCGGGAGCTTGCAGTGAGTTGTCCATCTTGTTGGACTCCTAGAACCTTCTTGATGTATCGACCTGCAGGCCGCACGGCGCAAGCTCGACACATCCACGCAGTTCATGACCACGATCGGGTTCACGATCAAGAATACGCAGATGCGGCTCGCGCGTGTCCTCATCCTCGAGCTGTACCCCAAGGCCGTGAAGGAGTGGGGCGCGTTCGTCGTGCGCTTCGACGAGCTCGACTCCGGGCTCGACAAGCAGAAGCCGCTCTCGTCGACGCAGGCGGATGACGACCTCGCAGCGTGGCTCGACAACCTGAAGCTCGACGACGGCACGGACGAGCACGGCCACGCGCATCCGCACGCGTGCAGCCACCCGAAAATCAGCATGAACAACGTCGCGCTGTACCGCTGCTCATGGTGCGGGAACCCGAGCGCGGTCCTAAGGAAGTGTGGTGGGTGTGGCAAGACAAGGTGCGTTCATCCTTGCCAGGCTTGCGGAGCTGTCTTTCTGAGCCGGAGACAGGTATTGCGACGGGCCGTGTCAGAAGAAGCACTGGTCAGAACACAAGGTCGAGTGCAAATCGAAGTAAACTCTTTTTCAGCTGTCACTCTCTGTAATCTACCGTATCAACACACTCTACACATCTATCCTGTCGCGGCCCAAACGTCCTGTCGCATGCATATCTCCGGGACGGAAGCTTCCACGGGTACGATGATCTTGGCTGCGGCATCGGCATCGGCATCTGTCACGCCGACCATGAAGACGACGGGATAACTGGGTGGGGGACCTTTTTCCTCCCAGGGTGTTTGGTCCATCCTCCCTCTGGTGTGAAAACCGCGGTGTAGTTTTTGTGCGTCTCCATCCTATACCCAGGCGGCAAGATACCGTTGAACAACTGCACAAGCTCGGCGTCGCGTCCAAACAGCTTGCACCCTTCGTCCAAGAGCGTGTCCATGGACACTCTGTTACATATGGTTCTGGTGAACCTCTCTCTTCCGGGTGGCGCATACGAGTGTGGAGACGTACGTTCCTTCAAAAGTGTTGTCCCGCAGCATGTGCCAAAACCTGACAAAATCCGAATGCTGGCCGGCGCGCGTGAGGGTAGCCTCCAGCTCGGGCACGAAGCGATCCACGGCGTCCAACGATATCTCCAGATAGGTCTCGTTCCAGACGTGCTGGAAATCTAGGTGAGAATGTTCCGGGGTGCGCGGGTCTGGGAGCGACGTCACTTCCATCTCCTCGAAGGAGTTTGTTCTTGTGGGCGTTCGTGGGTTCGAGTATACGCGCAGCCCGGGAAGAGGCCGCCTCGGCGAAGTTGGCGTGGTCTCGGGGTCTTTGAATTTATTTGCGGAGGTCGTCGCTTTGGGGTTCCTCGTGGCCATGGCTGATAAGTAGGGTGGTAGTAGATGGTTGTGGAGGTGGAGGTGAAGTGAGGTGAAGTACTACTGGACTCGGTACCCGTATTTGCTCTATATAGGGATTGCAAAGTTAGAAAGACAATGGAGGGCCGGGTGTAAGCAGTAGCAGGAGGATGCCATTATGATCAGCTCCCGTAGCACAAAGGGCATTGTGTGGCTCAAAGCAACGTGCCCGCTGCCCGGATAGGATTGGTCCTTGCGTAAATTCCGATATACATTGGACTCTGTAGGTTCGTCCCTGAATAGCTGTCAGCACTACTGCATTCAACAAAAACGTGGATGAATCGCTGAAAGCCTTGAAGGACTGGGGTGGCATTGGCAGAGAGGTTTTGTAAACCGGCGACAAGGTGCACGCACACTCACGAGAGGTTGTATGCGTGCTGATGATAGTGATACAGACTTCGTGACTTCTTACTCTGCCTATATGCTACAAAGCGTTCGGCTACGACGCCGCAACCTTCCACACTTTAACCAGTCCGTCGTCGGCCGCCGTCGCAAAGAGGTCCTCAAAGCCTTCGCGAGGGCACCACACGACGCAGTTGATGTCGTGGACGTCGTGCGCTTGAGCTATCTTAGCAATAATCCTATGCTTCACGACCTTCTTGCTCGGCTCCTTCGCGTTTGGGGCGACCTGGTACAAGTGTTAACCGAGGCACCCGGACCCATCATGCGTGTGTGCTTACCCCGATCTCCCAAACATGGATGATACCGTCTCCGCCTGTACTCGCCAGCCACCCAAGGCTACCAGCTTCGCCGCTGTCAAGAGGCTTTCCCTTCCCCCAGCTGATCGAGTACACGCTGCGTTCATGGCCCTCGAGCACATCCACGCACTCCCACTGGTGCTCCTGCACGCGCTCCCATATCCTGATCGTGTAGTCGTCCGACCCGGACGCAAGATAGCGACCGTCGGGGGAGAACGCGAGCGCCCAGACGGTGGAGGCGTGCCCGGAGAGCGTCTGGAAGCAGAACCAGTCCTCTTGCGGGTCGTCTACGTAGAGCTTGATGGTGTCGTCGTAGGAGGCGGAGGCGAGGATCTGCGCTGGGTTTGACATGGGTGGATCAGAAACGCGCGAGTCGAAGAGAGATGGGGGAGAGCGAGCCTGACCTCTTCTGTGGGATGCCATGCGACGCACTTCACGTCCTGTGAGTGTTCCATGAGAACGCCCATGCATTCGAAGTCGTAGTCGGGATGCGCTTCACGGACACACATTCAGCGAAGTGAACAGGGAATAGAGGATATGTCGCGCACCTTCCCAGATCCACACTGTCTTGTCCCTGCTGCAGCTTGCGAGGAGGTTCCCCGAGCTCGAGTACGCGACGCTCTTGCACTCCGTCTCATGTCCCTCCAGCAAACTCATACATTCCCACTCCCCTGCAGGGTTGACCGCCTCCCCATCATCCCCATCCGCCTCCTCCTGCGCCCATATCCCAATGTTTGAGTCGAAGGAGGCCGTCGCGAGCGCCTTGCCGGAGGGTGACCAAGCGACCGCGCGCACGGTCTTAGAATGCCCAGTAGGAATCGTAGTAAGATGCGAGAACTTGAGTGAGGGACCGTCTGGCTCAGAGGAGGTGCTGTAGTTGTATAGCCGCACGTTCTTGTCGGCTGAGCACGACGCGAGGAGGGGCCTGGCCGGATTCCACGCGACATGCCACGCGCGGTCATCGTGTCCTGCAGCTCTCCTTGAGTCTCCGTTGCTTCGATGGATGCTGCGTAGCACATACCCTCTAGCTGCGCTACTTGTTTGATTGTTGCGGGTGGGTCTTGGTCCATCGCACTTTCTCTTGGGCTGGGTGGTGTATGCGCAGGTACCGGCTGCTTGACTCGATGACGGTTTTTCGTCAGATCTTCGCGCTCAGATCTGGATCTCAGCTTGATCCGCCTCCGATCTTCATGAGCGTCTATCTCACCTCCGAGCCTGCCAAGTACCAAGAGTCCGTTTCTCGAGCGTTCCAATTACAGCAGTCACCACCCTGCCATATTGATAATGAGGCTAATGCCTTCTATGAGATTCTTGACTAGCCTATGCAGATCAAAGCGGCGGAATTGGCCTCATTAATAAAGTAAGTATATTGTTCCTGGCAGCTTGCCTCCCTGGCTCCTTCACGCTGTGCGGTCTAAGCAAGATATGCATCGACGTGTATATATATGACAAGGTCATCTCAATCCTTACAGGGTCTGTGCTCTTCCCCTCCTCCTTGCGTATCATCGCCGTAGTACCTCTAAGTCGCCGATCACGATGTTTAATGGATACAGCAACACTTCCTCAAACGACGGATGGACTATGGATAAAGCAAACGCCCTCGCCGGTGAGCTACATGTTACACCGTGCTGCACCTCACTGTTGGTACGAATCACTTGGTTTTCAGCCCTTTGCGAGAATTACCCCCTACAAGATGCTAAGAAAGCGCTCGACTTTGTTGGGTTCGCGAGGAAGCACCTCTCGGGCATTCCAGGCGCATTCGATCAGTTCTTCGACGCGTTGCAGTCGCTTCGGGAAGGCCAGTGAGTGTACATCCTCCAGAAACGCAGCTGCATGGATTGATATTATATACAATAGCCTGAAGCTGCAAGATGTGCTCATTCTTCTGATGATCAAGTGCTCCAGTGCTCCTTTTGTTCTTCTGGAGTTCAATCAATTCCTTCCGCGGGAATATTCGTATAGGTATCTCACCGTGGCACAGACCATTGAACTTATTACGCCTACGAAGACTGTGCATTGCCCGGCTGCCGTTCAGATGTAACGCTTCGTCTATCCAGTGTTTTGAAATATCTATGCTTGTGATGTATCTCTTCCAGTTATGATCGCGCCTGTACGCGACACGCGATTGTCTGTGTCTCTGAATGGGAAACAGGACCTGTAACATTGGTATCCCAGAACTGTAGAGCTCTCTTAAATTATAATATACATGCAAAATGAGCCAACCCTTCAGGACAGCAAGCTGAGGTATTGCTGAGACAAACCTAAACACTTGCCCGAAAGGGGTTGACACTAGCGCCCGAGTCTGAGATGATCAGCAGCAACGACGTCATGCACCGGCGTTGCAACCGCGGCAAAGTTCCCAGCCTGATCACAACCAACATGCATTCCGAATCCACCTCCTCGTCGTGTCTCCTCACTCCCACACTCCCCCCCACGTTGTTCTCCCAGGATGGCTAGCAGTGCAAAGTGCGCTATCCGCGAGGTCGCGAAGGACGTTTGGACGTTCTCATGGTGCTTTTGTTACCCCTTCAGAGAGCCTTCAGAGGAGTTGACGCGACATTAGCCCCTTCGCTCGCTTCGGACTGTTCCCTGTTGGCGGACGGTCGACTGCGGTAAAGCTTAGCAACGGCGACGTCTGGGTACTGGCATCTTCGCCTTTGGACGAAGCCACGAAGTCAAAGCTCGGCGAACTCGGTCCTGTGAAGCACGTTTGCAAACTCTTCCCTGGAGACCGCACGGAGTACTAACACTGCATATAGGTGGATCATTGGTGCTGACGCTGTGCACCACATGTTCCTAGGTGCGTATCTTCTTTCGGCGTTCAATCCGAGGCACGCGTTTACGCACGGATTCCATAGGTGACTTCAAGAAGCAATACCCCGACGCGAAAGTCATCGCGGTGGACGAAGCTATCAAGAAGAAAGAGAAGGAAGGCTTGAAGTTCGATGGAGGTGAGTCTTGCTGCGTCTTCCGTTTGCCTGCCTGCATAACCCTCTGCCTCTTCATAAGCTTGGGGTGCTGACCCGCCGGACACTAAGTACGGTTTCGAAAACGACGTGAGCACTGCATACAGACTTGCGCTTCAGTGTGTGTCAGGGTGACTGACTAAGTTTTAGATTCAGCATTGGTATGTTCGAATTGTATGCGCGTGCATACGCTTGCGAACTCACTATTTCCAGTTACTTCACGGGGTTCAAGAACAAGGACGTCGCGTTCTTCCACCCTGCATCGAAGTCATTGATAGAAGCCGACCTCCTTTTTAACCTCCCTGCTCGAGAACAGGTGCGTCCGGGGCGCACACGACCACGCACTGTTCGCGACGCTTCATTTCACGCCTCGTAGTACTCGATGACCGGGTCCTCGGGGAAATTCCCTGTCTTTGGAACTCTGAACCCCTCTATGTGGGTGCACAAGAAGTTTGCCTGGTCACTCGGGGTCGACAAGGAGTAAGCGAGCATCCCTGAACTCGTAGGCGCCCCAATCATGCTCACTGTGCATGTTACAGAGCAATGAAGCGCGACGTGAAGACCGTTGCAGGGTGGGACTTCGATCGCATAATACCTTGCCATGGGGTGCGTGCCCGGGCTTTAGCCGATCTCGTGCATACCGTCCGGGCTAATCGTGCACCTAGGATGTGATTGAGAAGGACGGGAAGGCTGCCTGGAAGGAGGCGTACAAATGGTATTTGGACTAACGCGCATGTGAATTCTATATGTATTTTAGGCATCGTGGGCTCCGCATGGAATTCATCCCGGATGGTCAGGTTGAGCACTGCAGAGTACTATACCAATATTCGTCTGAACGGCGATGACGGGTTGAAGTTTTGTTTAACCATTTGTTTCTCGTCAGGTCGTATTTCATCGTGTTCACCACATTTCGGCGCTCTTGCAGTCTTCTACATCTTGCAAGAACCGGATTGGGCAACACCCACCTGACAGGCAACGAGCGGCGCCTCTAATGGCAGCTTTCCAGGCCGCAATACAGCCGCTGTGCCGCGAGGTCGGCACGAGGCTCCCGGACGCGGGATATAATGCACGACCCAGCGTTCACCGGTGCGTATTAGCTCGAGACTGCTTCACTCCATCCACACTTTCAATGGCGGTCTGTTTCACTTGCAACAGGGTCTTCAAGAACGACGCCGCTCTCGCCCAGCACGGCAAGGACAAGGAGCACACTTACGTTGCCCCGAGCGCGCCCAGGGCGTCTTACCCGCAACCTGCTCCCGCTCCCGCCCCAAAGCCCGTCAAGGTCGCGCCCGCTCCGAAACCTGCTGCTGTTCCCAAAGTCACGGCACCCAAGGTCGCCGCCGTTGCCACACCGGCTCCGAAACCCGCGCCTAAGTTCGTCCCTGCTACAAAACCGGTAACCCCCGCCCCGCCCGCATACGAGTGCAAGCCATGTTGCCTCGTCTTCACCGACCAGACGGGAATCGATGAGCATAAGCGCAGTAAGCATCCCCCACCGCCGACATACAACTGCATCCCGTGCGCGATGCAGTTCTCGTCCCCGGAGGCGTTGTCAATCCATCTACGGTACTTCGCTGCGCACCCCAAATGCCCTGAGTGCCACTCTCCGTTCCTCGATCAAACCCAGCTCGACATGGTGAGTGAGCGTTCTCGGTGCGTAATATTTATGACATCCTAAGACGTCCACTACAGCACTTGAAGCTGGCGCACCCGGAGAAGCCGAAGCATAAATGCGCGCCGTGCGGCTGGGAGGTCGCGGTCGCGGATCTCCCGAAGCACTTCCGCGAATCTCCAAACCATCCAGTTTGCTTGGTCTGCGACGAGGGGTTCTTGGGGGATTCGGAATTGACGGCGGTGAGCTTTTCGATCCGGACGGGGTGATCCAAAGCAGGGCTCAAACGTCACTTTTAGCATCTGTCGTCCGCGCACCTGGAATCCCGCTGCGAGCCTTGCCGGCGTCAATTCCGCTCGAAGGAGGACTTGCTGCAACACTACGTGACATCCCCGCTGCACCCGCACTGTGCACTCTGCGAAGTGGGCTTCATCGACGATGATGCATGCGACAAGGTGCGTCTTGAAGCGATCCTTTCGAGACTGTATGAACTTGACCGCCATCGCGCAGCACATGGAAATCAACCACCCCCGACCGCCGCCGAGGCTGCCGACGCCTTCAACGACCTCTATGGATGCGACGGTCTCCGTGAGTCGATCTCACAGCGTCGGATATTATATTATCTGATTCCTATGGGAAGGTTCTGCCCTCCACTGTTGAGCCGCCGTGCTCCACGCAGTCTTCGCCGCTCGTTCAGCGGCCCACGTTGAGTATTGTGCACCCCGCGACGGTAGCCGTCGTAAACGAGAAATCGGAGCTTGACGATGACGTGCGTATATCTCATGACCCTTGGTCTCACAACTCATCTCCTGGGTTAGACTTACGAGACTGTGGAGGCATCTTCTCATGTGCAGCGGGCCGTCTCCGAGCCCACACTCCCTACTGCATCTTCCATGGGTAAGAACTGCACTTGTCGTCATGTGTTCGAGATGCTGAAATCAATCTTCTCAGGACCAAGCAGCGTTCAGGGAGTACCGCTGTACTCACCCCGCTCCCCAACAATTTCGGAGCAATCTTTCGACGACATGTAAGCGATTTCACAGCGTATCTGCTACTCGGCACTGATATGTTCTGGTAGGATACGCAGGCGCGGGACCCTCATGAGACATCCGGACAGCGAATCGACGCTGTCTATTCGTTCGGTTTCCACCGTCTCCTCGCACTCGCACCTTCGGAGCCCTGTACCCACCAACTCTGAGATCCAACCAGCTGGTCCGCGCTCCGCTGTCGTGGAATCAACATACGGCATGACCGACAGCGTCGTCAGCGAGCTTGCCCCGAGGCCGTCGCTCTTCCCGCAGCGCATGCGGTCCATCACACCCGTCAGTGTTTCGGAGCGCATGTCCCCGAGGGACAGTCGTGTGCCATCTCGGCTGGTGATGGACACACCACGTACCAGATCGACGGTACAGTCGACGGTCAGCCGGCCTGCGACTCCTGCGTCCGCGCGGACTCCTATCCGCTCGACCGCATCCAGGCCGTTGTCGCGCGTATCCTTGCTCTCAAGCAAGCAGCATGCCCCCAGCCCTTCTCAGAAGCCCTCAACAACAGCAGGTAAGCATGAGCCTAGGCCCGCGTGATCAGCAAGTTTGCTCACGACTTCGGGCAGTCGAGCCGACCCCGCTCTCCGACTCAGAGGGCACGGTGGAGGCCGCACCCGTCGTTACCCCCAAGCTCAAAGCTGTCGCGCGCGCGCAGGGAAAGATGGGCGCGGTCTCCTGGCACTGCAGGAGCTGCATGCAGGACCCGTGCGTCGCTCCAACCGCGACCATGTGTGGGCACATATTCTGCACCGCGTGAGTGGCGTTTTTCCGGCGTGTTTCTGGAAGCGCGCCTCATGCGTTTCGCGATGTAGATGCATCATACAGGAGCTTTCGAAGACGGGGGCATGCCCGGCATGCGGGAAGTTGATCCTGCTCCGTCTGCACGTCGAGACCGATTAGGAGGTAGCAGATCAGTCCTTTCTGTGCACACATTTCATGGTAAGTGGTTGTTGAGCGTCCGAAGTGCATATACGGGATTGATTTGAAAATAGGTTCTCACTGTATCACCTGCTCCATAGATTCTATGTATACTGGCCACGCACGAGCTTCACGTTATGTATTTGCAGCATGTCAATAGTATCGAGTTTGACCCTCACACGATATCAGCACCCGGGCTCGGGCGTGCGTCTGCATGATTATCGCAAGGAAGTGGATCTCCCGTCTCCTCATAAGCAGCCATGCTGATGCCTCCGCCTTTCTCCGTGTGCGACAGATAAATTGAGCATGCTGCATAAGGAATAACGTCGTCACGGGGCAAGCCTCGTTGGCTCTTGTACACGCGCTGCTCTCACGAAGAACTCCAAGTTTCGAGCGCGGCAGTGCTGCGGTAGCGCGAGGCGGCGTGCCCAAACGGTTCTCCGGTCTCCTTGCTTCAGTTGCCCTGTCGTCTGTGCAACACACCCATCCCCTCTTAAACAGTGACACCTCCAGCGCAAACTTGTAATGGCAAACAAAAAGCCGAAGATTTTCGGCTGTGGTGTATGCCCCAGGATGTTTCAGACGGTGAGCGCCTGTGAGCGCCATCAAGCAACATTCGGCCACCATACAGGAGCTCGTCGCCCTACCAAGATCACCGCTACGGACAAGACCGCAGCTCATAACGCTCAGTGGGCTTGCCATATATGTTGCCAGATGATTGATAGTGCAGTGCTGCTCAACCTGGTGAGTGCTAGTAACCCGTATCGCAGGGTGCCGGATTGGGTACCAACTTTTGCCGCACACTGACGATGCATATGTCACAAGCATTATACAGACTTTCACGCGAATATGAACAATACCTTCACCTTCTGCGGGCCTTGCAAAGCGTTCGTAATCATGGATGCAGACCACTACAGCGCCTTCAGCGCCTTTCACCCGAAATGCGTCATATGCTCGCAACGATTCGAGGATGTAGCCGAACTTCAGACAGTCAGTGACATTGCCATCCTATACCTATTGGGAGGTACTTACTCTTGGAATTGACGAGTAGCATTCGCTGGAAAGCCACACCTGCGACACCTGTCAAATTCACCTGCCTTCTGCGCAAGCGTTGCAGGAGCACAACTCCAGCGAGCACTTTGCCTGCCACGCGTGTGATACACACTTTTTAACGTTGCAGGAGACGGTCCAGGTGAGGAAGACTTCTAGCTTCTTTGCCATTAACTTACTTACTCGACACACAGCATCGGCTACTCTCGCAATGCGCGCTGGCACGGCCTACCAGCCCCAGAGATGTAGGGGCCACCGAGAGCGACGGCGACATTACAACACTCTTTGGAATGACAGAACACACTCCTGCCAAACTTCTTTCATTCGATCCTCATGCGGAACATACGAACGAACTCGTTAACGAATCAATTCTGGGTAGCGAGCGTCTGCCCTCGTCTACGACGACACCTCGACCTGTGAGTGTTCTCGTTTTATCGGTCCTGATCTATCTCTGGGGACACGTGGGTTGACCTCGCATACCAAAGGCCACAAGAGACATCCTATCAAATATTAGTGCGGCCATGTCATCCACGGCAGACATAGTGGGGGATACGTCGGATGATGTCGACGACGCAGCGTCAGTCGTGTCATATCTCAGCTATGTCGAGGTCCCTACCGGTAGCGACAAGGTTGCCTCGTCAAAATCTTTTACGAGTCCTTCGATGACCAGGTCAGTAAACCTATGTATCGGGAGCATGCGACTCATCCAGTGGCACAGCGCGTCGACGTCCAATATGAGTCCTCTACGGACAGCCGGATCGCTCAGCCGTTCATCAAGAGAAACCCCGCTTTCTTGTGAAGACATCGTCGCTCAGGGTCTTGATTATCTGGACCGAGACTACTCAAGTAACACGAGCGGGACCGATCAATATTCAAACCGCTCCCAAAGCAGGCGCGAGCTCCCGTCGCGGGCTCGCGCAATCCTCTCCGAGTCGGCATCCACTGGCACCCTATCGCCTCCTCAAGCATCAATTACATCTCACTATTCCAATGTTACAAACACTTCGTCGCCGCCTGTAGCTTCTGAGGACGTCCCCCTTGTGCGACAGAAGAAAGTCGTCTCCTGGCACTGCAGGTTATGCGAGCGCGACCCATGCGAGGATCCGGTCACCACGGCATGTGGCCACATCTTCTGTGAACGGTAAGCATACTCCGTATTATCAATTATAGCCGTTGAAAGAATGGTCGGTCATACGCTTCAGGTGCATTGTACAGACGTTCGCGGAGAGCGGCTCCTGTCCAGTCTGCAAAACGACGTTTCTGCTGTTCCTCGATGTGACGCCGTGCTGAATCCGCGAGTCCATTCTGCGAATGTACCCTATACTACCCGAGCTTCTCATAACTCCCAATATCGTCTCGCATCACTCGCAGAGGAAGTGTATCGCTTCAACCGTGACACGAGATGGAAAAACACTAGTTGTTACTTCCGCGACGCGGTCACGTGGGCGCGAATCTGGAGTAGTAACGCACGCCGCCTGCGACCTCCGTGTACTGAGAAGTACTTTTCACGACGTTGTGAGTGGCAGAACTGCGAATTTGAGGGAGCATGTAGAAAAGAAGTCTGAGCGTACGATATCCCTTGCTCGTCAGAGCAAGGATCTCCACCCTCACAGGAGGGACTCAAAAGTGTGCGCTACGTCATTTCTCACCTAAGGTACTCTAACCTTCGACCCCGGCGAAGGCAAGATTGACGAGCAAGGAACCGCGCCAGCAGGCGCCCTTCGAGTTCAATAGAACTCGGCTGTCAGGCCCGCGTGCGAAGCGGGAGAAGCACAGACACGTGTCATACGATGCTGCGGTAGCCTGGGATGCAGACGGTATGGGGCAACGTACACATTGCTCTCTCTGCCTTCACTTACGTCCTTCGCGGCCCATCCAGCTGGGTACGGCGCTAATCTAGTACTCTACTTGCGAGTATCGACTCAAACCCCTCTTGCTATCAGCGGAACTTGGAACTTCAAGTCGCCGCGAACCGCTGGAATGGCCAAGGCAAAGAAAGAAGTGGCCAAGGCAAAACAAAAGAAAGTAGCGTGCTTCGAGTGCAACAAAAAGTTCAAAAATGAAGCAGCCATGGCAAACCACGCTTCTGCCAAAAAACATCGGCGGAACCCATTGGTTCCAAAGGCTGCCCCTCCAGTCCCCCGCCGAGTCGCCGGATCAACGGCTAAGGCTTCCACGGCACGTTCACAAAGACTAGCAGAAATATGCGCTTCATCGTCGACATGGATCCCCGTGGCTGCTGCGCTCTCAACTCAGCCACAGGGCGTACCCACAACACATCCTGAGTCGTCGGGTGGTCCGCCAGTTGCCCAAGAGTTTGTACGTTGCTCCCATCAATTGCATCCTCCCAAGCCTATGAGCCTCAAATCACCTCCCCAGCGCTTCAAGTACGAATATCCAGATCGGGGGATCACGTCGCAGAAATCCGGCTCGGCTGCGCATTCGAGCCAAATCCCCGACCGCCTGAGGTGCCGCGGATGCGATGCGACGTTCGAGGAAGAATACAGATTACGCTGGGTATGTTGCGGCCTCTTGATGCAATTTCCTCAGCTAATTCAATAAACGTCTCCTGATAGCACATGTTATGCGTGAATGCATGCTCTGAGTGCAGGGTGCATCATCCATCCTTCGTAGCGCTACAAGAACACCACCGGATTGGTTGCCACCCATCCTCGGACGGCATCACTAGGGCGAGTCTCCCAGTGAAGATATCGAATGAGCGTGATGAGGTACGCCCTCCCCGAAAGCCGCACCTTCAATAGTGTATTCATAGTCGACGCCGCTTGGCAGGGTGCACCGAGCGGCGCGAAAGCTTTTGTCTCTAATCTGTCCGTCGACGTCCAGATCCCCGAAGTCTCCGTAAGAATTTTGCACTCACATGTGTTGTGTCTTACTGATCTGATACTGCCATACCGTGTCTACACATGTAGAGCCAGCCTTCAATTTCCAGCGTCAGCAGTCTACCGACATCTACCGACATTGCGATGGCAGAGGCGGTTGAGCCTAGTGCCGACTTCGACGACGTCGAATCGGTGGTGTCCTATGCGAGCTTTGTAGAGGTGACCGAGATTAATACCGTAGAGCAAGCCTTGACAAGGTATGCGAGTCCTATATTTTGCGCTACGGTAACAAATTGATTATCTCCTAGCAGCATAGGGTCTAATGGAGCGCCAATAGACCAGCAGCCGTCCCCGCCGTCGTACTCCTCCGACTCAGGGAGCTCGGGTGTGCTAGTATCTCAGTTCTCGCCGAAAGTCACCGCCCCGAAGGAAGGCCACAGCGCGGAAGTTGCGTTGCAAGCCGATGGGCTACCCCCTGGAGCAGAGAGGACTTTTAGGCCGGTATCGCCATCTACCATCGTACCCGAACCCCTTTTCGTCGGAAACCGCAATGGTGCTGCTAGTTTATCTGAGCCAGTACAACATGCGCTGCATTCGCAGCAAATCGACCAGCGTCCACGAGTGGCTTTCCATGTTACAGGAGATGAGGCCACATCACATGCAACCAGTGAGTCGGTTACCCCTACGGCGTAGGTTTGGGCGTTCACTGACCCTGCCGCTGCGCGACTAAGCAAACACAGTGGGTGCCGTGCAGAGGGGTATTTCGTGGCATTGCAGATCCTGCCAGAAGGACCCGTGCGACTCGCCCGTGGCGACCGTTTGCGGGCATATCTTTTGTCGAAGGTCAGAATCAGTACATGCTTTTGCCAAGTTGCGAAGTGCTTACGTTTTGAATGTGTATTATCATAGTTGTATCTGTCGGGAGATCAGTGCCGACGGGTGCTGCCCAGTCTGCAAGAAGCCGTTCTTGCTGAGCCTGGACGTCGTTGTGTGACTGGCGAGGCAGTGAATGAAGCCGATGTCCTAGGAGGTTTGCGAAGCGTCGCGGGAGGTAAATTCTTTCAAGGCATGTATTCGTATATGTATATGTATACTATGAACACACCGAAACACTCTGTAGATCCAGGAGGGGTCGAGGCGGATGGTCGACCTGGCCGCTCGAGAGCGGCGCGACGGTGTTGTGCTAGTAGCCGCATGCCCGTCGCGTTTACCATTACCATGGACGTTGATCTCACTCGATTCCCCATAGAGTGCACCGAATTCAACGTAGATAGCGGTTGCAAATCCTGCATGTACGCCGGGACATTGCGTGAGGAGCGCGATCACGTGCGCATGTCAAGCTCGATGCGTCGTCGATCGCTTCCCCTCACGATCGACATCGGAGCCGCAATGTTCTCTTTCACCTACTCCCGTCACGGACTCCAGACAGCTCTTCTTCACTCGTGGAGTCCCTGTCGTCTTTCGCCATTTCACAGTACTCTACTCGCTTCGTTTCAAACTCATCGCCCTCTGTCCTGTGCTCGACTCGATGCCTACCCTCGCGGAGCCCTGAGATCGACTGACGGCGCAGTTAGAAGGAAGCCCGGTTTGATCTCTGCCTCGATTCAGCCACTCCTGTCTCTCTTCTATGCCTCTTTGGTAGTGCTAATGGAAACATATATAAAGACGACGTTTCTGCGAGCACCGTGCATCGTTGGCACACATCTCTCGCCCTCTCGTCCTCTTGCCCCCCTTCTCCCAAGCTCTCTTCAACCTGCAGTCCTCCCTACTCGATGGTTCATTGGCCTCTTCTGCGTCAAACAACATGTCCCCAAACCTGCGTCTTCATCTGCGTCGCGCAGAAATGGTCGCGCGACGTTCACTTGGTGAGTTATACCTGACTGGTACATTCATTCCGGTCCTACGTCGTCCCTTTCTCTTCTCCGCGGCGGCTTGGAAGTCTCGCTGCACACTAAGGAGTCCAATTGGAAGCTGGCAGCAACTTGAGGGGACGAACGGCGGGCGCCAGAACATAAGCCTCTCATTGGCTCGGTGATATCCGTGTTCAACTGAGCGCCGTTACACGAGCGCAGCACTTGCCGCACAACTCGCTCTAGACCACCATCTACCACCATCCGGCCGTGCTGTTACAAAAAGGGGCGCAACGCGCTGCACAAATCAACGCGAATCCTATAAAGGAGCGTTCCACAGTTTCTGTGGTGGTTGTATGCGCGTTCATTAGCCATAAGGTACAGCGTCATGCATGACCCGCGATGAGAGTGTGTCCCACTTTTACCCACTTCTCGTGCAGATCATCTTGCCTCGGCTTTTACGGACACATATCGAAAGTTGGCCAGTGAGCATCGTGCCTCGATCTCAAAGAGGGTCGGATGAACGGGCCTGGTGGCCGATGAGGCACTTTCGCTGCGCGATCGACTGCACTCCTCCGATTTGTTTTGGGTGCCTTGTCCCTCGGTGTGTACATGGATGCTGCGGCTTCGCGAACCGGTGTCGCCGAGAACCCCAACTCTCTACCTGTAGTGGGGGTGCGTCTGATGCATGTCGAGCTACCACTGATCCGCGAAACCAATAATTCACGCGTGTATCTGCATGTACGACCGCATGGAGAGCGTCTGATGCTCTAGATATCACAGTGCGTGCCGCCGTTCGTGCCGTGCTTGACTAACATCATGTTCTCTTATAGACAGCGCATGTCTGCGAAGGCACAAGTCTGTCTTTTCAGGCTTCCGCGCCACATGAAGAATGTGCCTATCCCACTCGGTCGTTCAACTCCATGCAATTCGGATCTATTCTGCTCGGTAGATAAGATGGTCCTCACCTCAAATTCCCATCTTATCAGATAAACAATTCATCGTGACCTGCCAAGCCCCCATGGTCCTGCGCTCGACCCGTCCCGGCGGTACCTACGAAACCCTCGATCGACTTGCCCACGGTGCCGGCCCCCACCGGCGCCCACACAACATTGCCCGATCGAAATTTGACCGCGAAGTCACCAAACTCTTTGAATTCCCCGGGCCGCTCTAAGAGAGACATGCCACAGACCCAGTACGCCGGTCCCGAAGTATTTTGGGGCGCGTTATCTGATATGATACCTCCCGGCTTCTAGTATCGAAGCCCAGAAGTCAGATGGCTACACGAAGCACAATGCATGCATCGCAACCTCTACGTGGTTATTCATCTGCCTTTGCTTGAAGTACATGCGTGGGTGCTCCGAACTGCGCCAAAAATGTCTTCTGCTGCGGCTGAACTCTTCTACCTGGTCCAAATACAGGCACGCACCCGTCTTTCCGTCGGGTTACCGGGAAACGTTCACTCGGACAGCCGTGCTCCATTGAATTTACCGTAGCGGCTGCGGTCCTGGTACGGTGGTACCGAGCACCGACGCAAGGCCAGAAACCCCGCTGTGTCCCGGTCGAGCGCACGCAGAATCACCAACGACTTCAGTGACCACGCGATAACACCGAAATTCGTCCAGCGGAGCCGAGCACACGCGCCTCTCACTTCGCGAAACGTTTCCAGCACTGCCAGCTGCATCGCGGGGGCATACACAGTACTGTGTCGGGCTAGCCTTTCTCATCGACGCGGCGCCCTGCTGACAAGCGCCATACTTACAGCCACCCGCCCCTTCAGGGTCCGGTCCACGCCGGTCCTCGTGTTCTAGCGATCGGAGAAAGTCAGCCCCTGTCAGCCCCTGAAGAAATGCAATCATTTGCCAAGTGGCGAATTGTCTCTCGCGCCGATCGAACGGCCGCGCGGAGACGAAGGAGCGAAGGCAGGAAGACCGCGACGTCGGTGGCCCGCAGCGCTAGCTTCGCAAGCTTCCGTGAAAACCAAGGACGTCTAGAGTTAGCCGCGTCATGTATGGTGGCGCTCGCGGGCGGCACACAGACCCGTGAACGAGACATGGCTAGCGCATCCAGGAACACCGTGGCAGCAGTGCGGGCTTCGTGCACTAGTTGGACATCGCATTTCCGTTCCGAAGCTAGAGTGACTAACTACTGCAATGCGGATGACATCGTATCGTGGGTGGGGTCGTTAGGACGCCCGACGGATTCCCGCACCAGGCGCGAGGCCGTCACCCTCCATGCGCCACGCAACTCTATCACACAACATGTGGCCGGGCGCAGTGCCAGGACCGTATGGTCAGTCTTCCCTGCGGCTTCTTTTGTAAGGCGCGCGAACTCATGATCAGCGGCGAAACACAGATGTTGCAGATACGCTTCGTTCGGCAACTCTTTCTTCTCTTGTGCCGGGTGCATATTCGAGATTAGCAGCGCAAAATCTCCAAGTATCGTCGTGCATTTCATGCTTTAGTTCACGGAAGTCCAGAACGGGCAGCAAGGCGCTCCGAGATCGAGAGGCGGACACCCGTGGATTAACGGCCTACAATACACACGGACAGAAGGACAACCGTTTTATCGCGTCACAGAAGAAGAAAAAATGAGAAATCGTAAGGACGTCTACACCATGACCGTGACCGTAATCATAATTTTACCATACCACACTACAGCGCACCCGCTCACTGCGAGGCCGGAAGGGTGGCGTCACGCGCCTCCTGGCGCTCGCGACGCTTGCGACCCATAGCGCTCTCCTTGCCGAAGAGGCGCGTGCGGCCCTCGCGGAACTTGAGCACGATGAGCACCGCGATAACCGCAATCCAGTAGAAGACGTAGGAGAGCACGGAGCCGATCGTCGCCGAGTTCGTCCACCCGAAAATCGCGGAGAAGATCGACCAGCCGTCCGAGTCGAAGTTGTTCTCGGGGTTGCAGCAGTCGAGGTGCCACACACTCCCGCGCACGTCGTACGAACCGGGGCCGTCACCTCCTGCGTCGTCGACATCCGCGCCGAGCCTGGAACAGGTGAGTAGGGAACGATTGTTGAGAACGGGAGTAGGCACTTACAGGTGGTTGAAGGCGTTGGTCTGGAATGCCCAGACGGCCTTGGAGAAGAGACCGGCGCCGATGAGCAGGAGGAAGTTCGTCATCACGACCATGAAGATGGTGAGCGCTGCACACGCCGAAGTCAGTATCGGAAATATTGCTCAGCGAATATGTGGGCACTTACTGGTCCTGCTAGCGAACGCGTAGATGAGGTAACCACAGATGAGACCGCAGATGAGACCGACGATGGCGGCAATCGGGATAGCAGTTGCGGGCTGGCCGAGAGAGACACCGCCAACGAAGACGACGGCCTCCATACCTGGGCGAAACGAACCAAGATTAGCCCATACCCCACACTGTGATATCATGACACTCGCCTTCACGGAGCACAGTGATCAAGGGAAGGATGAACAGGACGTACTTGCCCGTCTTTGCGCCCTTGTCAACAGCTGGATCGGAGTGAGTCGCGTACCATAGAGCGAATCAATCACCAAACTGACCTTTGCCAGAGAACGCGCGCTGGAGCTTTACGCGCCACTTCGCCTTAGCGCGGTCCATCTTGAGCATGGAAACACCCATGACGAAGATGATAAGCGAAGCCACGAGCTCGAAGATACCTGCACAAAGGAATTTGTCAGAAGGTGCGTTTACTCTCCGGTCCGGCGCGAAGCGTACCTTCCCAAAGTTCCTCGGACTTGGCCCACAAGTCGCTTGCCTGGGTGAACCAGACGGCGATGAAGGCAGCGCCGATGGCGAGTGCGAGGAAGAGACCGAGGAATGCGCCCGAGAAGATGTAGATCCGCATCTTGCGGAGGAGCCGCTTGTGATCCGCCTGCGCGGTCTCGCCCGCTGAAAGCTGGGGGAGCTCGGCGCTGTTGGAGCCATTGTCGGCGCTGTTCCGCTTCTCGTTCTCGCCCTCGGGGGTGAGGGTGCCGACGGCGGGGGGGACAGCGCCGGGGATCAGGCTCGGGTCCTCATGGACGATCTGTTCGACGAGACCGAGGAGGACCGAGACGATGATGGCGGCCTCGAGGGTCTCGCGAAAGACGATGAAGAAGATGGGGACGGAGAAGACGTTCCGGGGCATCTTGTCTTGTCCGTGCGACGGGGCGGGATGGACGGACGGTCTTGACTCTGAGTCTGCGCGCGGACGGCGGTGCGGGGGACTTGGAGGGGCGAGAGACCTTGGGCGTAAAGGGCGCACGCGGGTAGTATTATAGCGGCCTCAGTGGGCAGGGGGAGGGCGCGCGCGAGACGATCGGGGTGGCCTCACATTATCTGATAATCCCTCAGCCGGGGAAACGACAGTCTGGGATCTGGATCTCTGTTCTGGAATTCGCGCGTGGACGAGGTCGGCCGTTTTCATCTTATCAGATAAGGGGTCATCAGACTGTCGGCCATCTGCCCGCGGCAGCTTCGCTGCTTCGAGACCTTACAGCTGGCGGAAGAACGTACGGCAGGGATATTTTGAGTGCGGGGAGACAGCGCCCTGAATTATATGTCCCGATCGACGCGCAGGTTTACACTCGAAACTGTGCGTTGGGGAGCTACCCTGGACGGACATGGGAAGCGGCCGTGGTGCGCGCTGGGGCGTGCGGCGCGGTCGCTGCCCGGGATCCCCGGAAGAACAGTCTGCAATGGTTGACGATGTACGGGTGTGGGATGTCTGAATCGGCAGTACCTTGAGGGGAGGAGGTGCGCGCGGTCGCAGTTCCAGGAGCAGATGGTCGAGGGCCGAAATGGTAATCTGATAAGACAGGCGCCGTCGGATCGGTGTGGGATCTCGGGCGCGATCACATCGAGTCGGGTTATCTGATAAAATTTCTGATCAATTGCAGGACATGCACTCCAGAATGCCTCCAACTCCTGCCGGTCCCTCGGATTCGCGCATTTCGTCGTCTGACCCTCGCACAAATGCCGCCGCCTCATATTAGACTGCCCTCACCTGCCCGGTCTCTCCGCCCGCCCCCGTCCTCCATATCTTATCGCGACCCGGCCCTCCCCCAAGGCCAGCATTTCTCTTCACCAAGAGTGCTGTAGTCCACCTCCTCCTCTCCGCTCACGACATGAAGTGGTCTGCCCTCGCCCCCCTCTTCGCCGCGGCACCCACCCTCGCCGCGGTCCACGAGATCTGGTGGAACATCACCTACGTCGAGAACGCCAACCCCGACGGCCTTCAGCCCCGTCGCGTTATTGGTGTCAACGGCACATGGCCGTAAGCATCTCTTGCCATCCGTCTTGACCATGCTACTTACGCTGCTCACAGTCCCCCGCCCATTGATGTCACGACCGACGATGTCCTGCTCGTCCATGCCACCAACTCCATTGAGGAGCCTTCTTCTCTCCACCACCACGGCATGTTCTTCAACTCTACCTCATGGATGGACGGCGCGGTCGGCGTCTCGCAGTGGTCAGTCTGAAACCATCCACCGCAGCATCATTTTATTGACGCGTCTACGTTTACAGTGGTATCCCGACTGGGTCCACCTTCGACTACGTCGTACCCATTAACTCTTCGGGTCAATGGGGCACCTACTGGGTGCACGCACATGCTTCGGTTAGTCCTGATTACGATCATACGATCACCCTTATTCTAACTCTGTGTTTTCAGGGTCAATATGTCGATGGTCTTCGCGCCCCCGTAGTCATTCACCCGCCGAAGGAGGTGCACACCTATGACGAGGAGTTCACCGTCGTTCTTGGCGACTGGTATCACGATCAGCATTCCACTCTTCTTGACCAGTTCGTCAACATCGCGAACCCGGGCGGTGCCGAGCCTGTCCCCGGTACGTATCCCTATATCCGGCCTCGAACATTCAGTTCGTACCATCGAAACGTCCGGCCTTCTGGCCTCAGTGTTCAGTGGGAAAAGCAGAGCTCGCTTGCCCGCTTGAACATCCATCGATGTGCAACCGGACGTGCTTGACGTGCTTTGCAATCTACATGTTGGTTCTCGATAGAAGCTTTGCTAGGCTTGCCGCTTCCCGCCCGCTTCATGCCCAACTTCGGCGGTTTGGGCAGGAGCAGGAGAGCACACTCCCATGGCTAGCACCTGGGGAGAATATAGAATCTTCGCCTGTCGTGTCCTGTACTCCACTCAATGCTCACCTTATGTCCCTCTAGACTCGGCCCTCGTTTACTTTGCGCAAAACGGGACTTACCTTGGCCCTATCTCCGGGACGTCGCCCGACCCGGTCACCGGTGCCGTGGGCTTCAACGAGAACGCGACGCTGCCTTTCCAGGTTCGTCTCATTTCTACGCCAACCTGGGTTACCACGCTGACGTATCCAAATACAGCCCGGAAAGACTTACCGTCTGCGCATCGTGAACACTAGCGCGTTCGCGGCGTTCTTCTTCTGGATCGATGGCCACGACATGCGCATTATCGAGGCGGATGGTGTATGTATTCTCCCCATCGGGTTGACGAACAGGAGCTAATGACATTGCGATAGGTCGACACCGAGGAGTCGCCTATCGACCTCATCTCCATCACCGTCGCGCAGCGCTACTCTGTCCTCGTCACCGCACGTAACGACACGACGGCTTCGAACTGGGCTATCCACGCCAACATGGACACCGACATGTTCGACACCATCCCTGACGCGCTCAACCCCAGTACGCCTCTCCTCCATCACTGTATCTCTGCGTACTGACCGATGTGTGTCCGTAGACATCACCTCGTCCGTGACCTACGATGCGTCTCAGCCGCTCACCGATCTCGGCGCGGTCGCTGAGTACCACGACGTGGACGACCTCGCTCTCGTTCCCGTCGCCGCCAAGGAGCTCCCCCTCGCCGACCGCACGATCGAGCTCGAAGTGTTCTTCGACACAATGGCGGATGGCACGAACCACGCGATGTTCAACATGGTCACCTACAACAGCCCGCTGGTACCGTCGATCATGTCTGAGATGACCCTCGGCGAGAACGCGACCGCTGTGTCTGCCTACGGCCCCAACTCATTCGTCCTCGACCACCTGAGCGTGTTCGACATCGTCCTCAAGAACGGTGATGCCGGCAAGCACCCCTTGTGCGTCATCTCGCGTTTTTATACTATGGTCCCCATGCTGATTCTGCTCCCCTTTCTAGCCATTTGCACGGGCACAACATGCAGCTCGTCGGCCGCGCGCAGGATTACACCTCCGACGACCCCGAGCTCAACCCGCCCCTGAACAACAGCCAGGCTAACCCCATGCGTCGCGACACCGTGCAGGTCCCCTCAGGGACCTCCGTCACCCTCCGTGTCGTCGCAGACAACCCCGGAGCCTGGTTCTTCCATTGTACGTCGCACGCGCTTCATTGTTTCGCATCACCCCTGACCGATATCTCGTACTTCCAGGCCATATCGAATGGCATTTGGAAGTCGGTCTCGCGGTGACGTTCCTTGAGGCACCCACCATCGCTCAGGAGCGCGACGCCATCCCCCAGTTCATGTTCGACCAGTGCCAGGCGCTGGGCAAGCCTATCTCCGGCAATGCCGCCGGACACGCATCCGCCACCGACCTCACTGGCCTTACCACTGGGCCCTTCCCGCAGAACAACGGCTGGCACGCGAAGGGCATCGGCGCAATGTTCGGCTGTGTCCTTACCGCGACGATCGGAATGGCCTCCGTGACGTGGTACACGCTCGGCGGGCACATCTCCGAGGAGGAGATGGAGCATGAGGCGCGCGAGCAGCAGGAGGCGAAGGCGCGCCGTGGCCGTTTCTTCGGCTTGATCAAGCAGCGCTCTTGAGCGAGCCTTGCTCCGACGTAGGCGTGCGTCGTCGTGCGGTGTATTTCTTAATACTCTTATTATGATAAAAGGGCGGGGCGCGCGCGCGACAGGGCAGCGCGTCGGCCGCGGGGCTGTTGGTAGTAGTTAGACGATCACGCACATGTGTAGTACTCATGATCTTCTCATGGATTTGACGATTTTTTCCTCATCCATATCGGTGTGAAACGTGCGCAAAGACCTGAGCGGTCCGGGTCAGATTCACAACTATTTGACTACCCGCGAACCGCGTCCTGAACACAGCATCAACACGAAGTAGGCTCGACGTCGATGTTAAGGTTCCCTTGCTTCAAGCGTGAAGATGTGCGTGAGTTCGCAAGGAAAGGGCAAATCTCAGATGTACGAGAAGATACTCACGAATGTGGACAGGGTGCTGCGCGCGGTCGTGGCAATGTCGAGCGCGTTGACGCCGGGCTGCTCGCAGGCCTCAATAGGGCGGATTGTCTGCAGATCGCAACAATGTAGTAAGGTCACCGCAATACGTAAGTCGTATAGTTCCTTGGAATAACAGAGAACAAGCAACGTACGCCGCCGAACTGAGGGATCTTGCAGAAGTTGGCTGGGTGTGTGGCTGGGCAGCTGGTGGGAACAACGCCGGTGAGTAAATGGGTCGCCTCGATCTACGCCCACGACGAAGAGGGCGTGTGCACGTACGCGTCGACGATCTTGACTTTGATGGTCTTTCCGGTGCACGCGCCGGAGGTCTCGCCGTCGAGGGAGCCGGTGCCTGCGACAGTCCCCTGTTAGCACAGTTGATAGACATTGCACAACCAGTCCACGTACATCTGACGTTAAAGCACTAGACGACGCAAGGTCAAAGAATTTGCGCGAAGATACGTATAAGGAGACCTACCGTCCCGCACAGCTCCTCGTCAGGGCACGCCGCTATGCACACACGTTAGCCGAGTGAGAGACAGCGTCGCCGCATGACCTGCATGCAACTCACGTCCGACGCAGTTCACACAGGACCCCCTCCCGTTGCACTTGCTCGCGTCCTGGGAGCCCTGGCACTTCGCACCCTGCCACAGGGGCGACAGGTCGCTCATGGCGGCCGCGAATATCCCGCCGCCCTGGC